TAAGGAAGAGGAGGAAGAGGAGGAGGAGGAATAGGAGGAGAAGGAAGACGGAAGAGGAGGAGGAGGAGAAGGAGGAGGAGGAGGAGGAGGGAGCAGGAGGGAGGAGGAGGAGGAGGAGGAGGAGGAGGAGGAGGAGGAGGAGGAGGATAAGGAGGAGGATACGGAGGAGGGAGGAAGATCGCACGGACTTGCCTGGCTCGCTTGCGCGAGCACCTTTTCCTCCTGGGCCCGTGCGTGCGAGCGCTCCGCCTCAGGGGCTGGGGCACTGCCCTGGCGGCATGCCCAATCGGCGCGCCTTGCCCGCGCGACGCGGTGGCGCCGAGGCTCAGGGCTGCTGCCCCTGAGCAGACAGGTCGCGCGTGCGCGCACGCCCTGCTCTGGCTCGGCCTCGGCGGGCGCGCGAGTCGGTCGGAGCAGGCGCTGGGCCACCGCTGAGCGACGTGCGCGCCAGGGGAGCCCGAGGCGCGCGACGTGCGCACGCACGCCGCGCGAGCGCAATCCCACCAGCCCTCCAGGCGCAGGCAGCCGAGGGCGTCGGCTCTTCCAACACCGCCCCTCACCCACCCCCTCTGGGGAGGGGTCTGCCCTACCCCCTACCCCGCGTCACGCGACTGCCACCCCTCGCCCGGTCACGCAAAGGGGGCGAGACATGCAGAGGGGGGGGAGACCGAGAGAGAGAGAGAGAGAGAGAGAAGACAGCAACAAAAACGAGTGATGGCGGGGAGGGGAGGGCGGGACGGGAGAAGGGAACGACAGTGTTACGGCGGGGGGGAGGGAGGGGAAGCGGGGAGGAAGAGAAGGGAAGCTTCATCAGGCGCGGCGCCAAGCGTGCAGGCACAGCTAGGCGGCTCGGGCGCGAGCCCGACCGAGGGAAAAGGGGCCCGAGCACCTCCCCAGTGGGGAAGGAAGGGAAGGGAAGGAAGGAGGGGGGGAGGGAACGGGGAAGGAGGGGGAGGGGCGACGGGAGCAGGGGAGGGGAGACGACTGGTCAGCACCACGGGGGCCCCAGCGCCTCGGTGAGGAACGGGGTGCCCTGGTTGCCCTGGATGCTGATCCAGCCCTCCACGGAGTCGACCAGAGACTTCCCCCTGGCGAGAAGCTCGAAACGCCCCCCCCCCTCTCTCCCCCCTCTCTCCTCTCTCGGCCCTCCTCCCTCCCCCTCCCTGACCCTCGAAGCCCCCCTTCTTCCTTCCTTTCCCCGTCCTCAGCCCCCATCCCCTCCCCCCTCCTTCCTTCCCAGCGATCCCCTCTCCCTCCCACCCCCATCCCCCCTTTACGCTCTTCGCTCGTCCGTCCTCGCATCTGCCTCATATGCCCTCCTGCTGAACAGCTCCCAGTGCTCCCAGTGCTCTCTGGCCCCTCAAGTCCAAAGCTTTTCGAGGTGGTGGTTATCCCTCTTGGCCCCGTCCCCCCACCCCCTGTCTCTCCCTCCCTCCCTTCCTCCATCCATCTCTCTTGTTCTTTTTTTGTTATCTCTCTCAGTGTATGTGTATATGTATATATATATATATATATATATATATGTATGTAGATGTATAGTGCTGTAAATGTTATGTTGTTATTCTCTCTCTCTCTCTCTTCCTCTCCCTCATTTTTGTTTTTCTCTCTCTCTCTCTCTCTCTCTATCTCTCTCTCTCTCCCTCTCTCTCCCTCTTGCTCCCTTATAGTTCACTCTCTCTCTGTGTCTCTTTGTGTAATAGATATACATGTATGTGTATGGATGTGTGTTGATGCGTAAATACATCTTTATATATACATATCTATATACGGATGCACATACAACGTAACTCTCTGCCCCCCTAGCACCAACACCCACAGCCCTCCCTCCTCAACTCCCAATTCTCATCCCTCCTTATTATTTGTCCTCCCTCCTCCTCCTATGACCCCCCCACCTATCCTACATGTTCCCTTCACCTCATCCACTCCCCTCCTCTCCCACATGTTGGCCTGATTCGGCTCATTTTGAGCTTCTCATCGATGCACGGGCCCTCTAGCACCTCGACGAGGGGGGAGAAGAATCGGCACCAGGAAGAAGGGAGGGTGCAAGAAGGGAGAACGACGAAAGGTGGAGGAGGATGCAGGAGGTGTACGTGAGGGGGGATAAGGGCGATGGGGGATAATGAAGAGAAAAAGGGAAGCATGAGGCGGACAACGTAGGCACGGAGGATGAAGAGGGTGCGGACGGGCAGGACAGGAGGAGGGGCAAGAGGCGATAAAAGGAGGGGAAGGAGAGGAAATAGGTGCAGGTTGTGGAGATTGAGTAGAAGAAAGATGGAATGATGGCAAGGGGGGCGTGAGTAGTCGGAAGATGCGTAGGTGGTAGAGGAGGATGAAACATAGGTGGGAATAGAGTCATATGTACAGATACACACATATGTTTATGCATATGCATGCGTATATTCCCCAATCAGAGCTTGCCTCTGTAGAGGTCCTAGCGGATTAAAGGGTTAGGTGAGGTTTGTCGCCGATTTCGGTGGCCGGGCCCGGGTGCCCGGGTGCCCGGGTGACCGGCGGTGCCCGGGTGCCCAGGTGGCCGGTGAGGTGCGTGGCCGATTTCGGTGGCCGGGCCCGGGTGCCCGGGTGCTCGGGTGCCCGGGGGTGCCCGGGGGTGCCCAGGGGTGCCCAAGAGCCCAATAGCCCAATAGCCCAGTAGCCCTATAGCCCTATAGCCCTACAGCCGTATAGCACTATGGCCCTATAGCCCTAGAGCCCTAGAGCCTTATAGCTCTGGAGCCCTATAGCCCTATAGCCCTATAGCATATATAGCCCTATAGCCCTAAGGTTCTATAGCCCCTATAGCCCAATAGCCCAATAACCCTATATCACTATACCCCTATAGCCATTTAGCCCATATAGCCCCATTGCCCCAACAAAAATCGGATTTGGGCTTTTCTCCGGTATCATGGTGGTATCTATGCGTATATACATATGTATATGTATAGTTGTATGGATATGCCTATGTATAAGTATATGGTTGTACACTTGTGTATGTATATGTGAATGTAACGTGTACATGCGCATGTAGCATGTACATGTGCATGGACATGCACATGCACATGTACATGCATGTATGAATGTATGTACGAATGAATCGACAGAGGGGGAATACATAAATATTTAGAGAGAGAGGAGGGGTAGAGGAAGGTCGGGAACGAGGCGGGGACGATGCGCTGTATCGCCAACGCATCATCGATGCATGAACCATCCAACACCTCGATAATCTCGTTCACCTCGGCCTTCCTCTTCGTCTTCGCCTTCGTGACGTCGAGGACGTCCGTGATAGCGATAGGCTTAACCACCGTGTAATATCTCTGCACGAAGCCGAGGAATCTTCGCCTGGTGATGCCACCTCCTCCTGCCTCCGCCCTACTCTCGACCTCGCCGCCCTCCCCATGCTGGTGCTCCTCGACCTGTCCATCCTCAAGCTTCTCCCCGGCCTTCCCCCCTCCTGCTCTTCCCTCCGCCTCCTCCTCCTCCCTCCTCCTCCCCTGCTTCCTCCTTATCCTCCTCCTCCTCCTCCTCCTCCTCCTCCTCCTCCTCCTCCTCCGCCTCCGCCTCCCGATCTTCGCCTGGAGATGCCGCCCGCCTCGATGCTCCGCGCAACCAGAGCGACGTGCTCCGGCTGGAGGGCGGTGCCGTCGGCAGCAGCGACGTGCCTGCAGGGCGCTGCCGGGTTTGCTGTTGGGCCTCGCCTCGCGCACTCGACTGTGCTGCGCTCTCGCGTGCGAGATCTCGCACATCCCTCGGGCATAACCCAGACCTTAGTGGGCCCTGGAAACGGCAGGGCCGTTTTTTCACCGGTTCCGTTTTGCCGTTTTTTTGCCGGTTCCGACGCCGTTTTTGTACCGGTTCCGTCGCCGTTGTTTTACGGGTTCCCGCTCCGGTTCCAATCCTGGAGGCTTTTTGTTGCCGTTTCCGGTCGCCTTTTTTTTGCCGTTTCCATTTTCAAGGGACACTTTTTCGGAAACAGTGAAAAAACGGCCCTGCCGTTTCTGGGGCCCACTAAGTCATCTGATGTCTGGATTTTCCCCTTCGGGGTCCCAGGAAGCCCCGATTCCGTTCCCCAGGACCAGCTTTCATCCCAGGTCGTCATCTGACGGTCCTGGGGCCCGGCGAAGGCTCCCAAGGCCGAACATGGCCAAAAACCACCCGTCGCGATTGTTCCACGCTGCGAGCATGTCTGGGAAGCCAGACTGGTAGAGGGAGAAGGTGACGTAATCCATTGAGGACTACAGCAAACAGGCACGCCTGCTGAACGCCTCCTCGGAGATCTTGTCGCCCGAAGCGGCCAGCTCATCGAAGAGGGCGTCTACCGTGATGCCCCTCTTCTGCACCAGCTCCCTCATGGCGGTGGAGATGAGCGCCGACTTGGCGACCGAGATGGTCTGGCAGGCCTAGTGAGGGTAGGGGGGGCTACGGCCTGACCCAGGACAGAAGAACATCCTTCAAGAACATGAGGCCCTCCGCCGGCCAAACCGAAGAACACTCGAGGGCACCCTACCCCAGGACACACGAGAACATCCAAGAGGCACGAATAACGTCGGGGTACGTACCCTCCCCGTCCCGACCTCGCTCTTATACCTCGGTCCGACGGTACAGTGGAGGTCAGTCCACAATAAACCCGCCACAAGAAACCCAACCCTGAGACCCCAGGGCGTCCCCTGATTTTTGGTGTGGGAACGTCACGCTTTCCATAACAAAGCCATCGAACCCCAAGAAACCCAGGGCACCCTGGAGGCAAGCAGGGTGTTTCTTGGCATGGGCCCCCACTGTACCCTCCTGGTCCCGACCTTGCTCTTGTGCCTCGGTCCGACGGTATACGTCGTTCATTCCTAACAGTGCTCATTTCAATTTGCGCTCGTTGCTAATTGTTCCTGGCCCCCTAGTGGCCAGGAAGAGGCCCAGGATAGAAGAATTAGAAATGAAAGGATCGTGCCCCCCCCCAAAAAAAACTAAAGAACTTTCGAAGAATTAGAAATGAACGTTGTGTGCGTGTAAGCCCTAAACTCTGGAGTTTAACGCCTCAAGCTCTGGGTTCCAGCGTGTGGCAGGCACGTGTGCGCCGCTGGCCTTCTGCGCAGGAAGGGGGGCGGTCCCCGCGCCGCGGGATGGGGGAGCGGGACGCTGAGTCCGGGAGGGGGGAGGGGAGGAGGGAGGGAGGGAGGGAGGGGAGGGAGGGAGGGAGGGGAGGACGAGGGGGATCGGAGGGAGGGAGGGGAGGGAGGGCAGGGAGGACAGGGGATGGGAGGGGGGGAGGGCAGGAAGGACAGGGAATAGGAGGGAGGGAAGCAAGGGGGACATAACGAGGACAAGCAGGGCAGGGAGGGAGTGGAGGGGAGGGGGGGGGAGAGGGACGGGGGAAGGACGAGGGACAGGGACAGAGGGAGGGAGAGGAGGAAAGGGCGGGAAGGAAGGAGGGCACGGAGGTGAGGGAGCGGTGGGAGGAATGGACAAATGACGCGAACGTAAGGGGACCCGGCTGCCCTGGCACATGTCTTGATCATCTCCCTCGCGCCTTCTTGGCCTTCTCCACGGTGGCCTTGCACTCCTTGAGCTTTATTTCGCCCTTCATCTGCATCCTGACAGCGTGTGAGGAAAGGCACGCGCGTCTAACCAGCAGCCAGCGGGACACATACACACATACATATATATATGTATATACATTACACATAGATTATATATATATTATATATATATATTATTTATTTATATATATATTTATATTATATATACGTGTGTGTACGGTGCATATTTGGTTGCATATATATACATGCACACATACAGACATACATGCATACTTACGCACATGCATATACACCTACATGCATGCATGCACGTATGCATACACAAGTGCATACATACATACATACATACATACATACATCCTAGACCCCGCACTATTTCCAGGCCAGCATCTCGACAGTGTCTGTTCGCAAACGTTGTCCAGCCAGAGTGCACCATCCATCCGCGTCGAGCAGAGACGCGGGAGGCCAGGACAAACAACAGCGACCTCCTGCGACAGACGGAGCATCTCTTTACAAGGCTCAAGGGTGGGTGGGCAGGGTTGAGCCCAAAAACCCACGGAAGCGATCTAACATCGACGGCCTGGACTCGGACGGGATAAGGAAAGACATGCACGCAAAAGATATCCTAGACCCCGCACAATTTCCAGGCCAGCATCTCGACAGTGTCTGTTCGCAAACGTTGTCCAGCCAGAGTACACCATCCATCCGCGTCGAGCAGAGACGCGGGGGGCCAGGACAAAAAACAGCGACCTCGAAACATCTCTCCGAAGATCTAACTGGCCCTAGGCCGCCAATCGCACCAAGGCTTGGTGCGTGGATGACAATCTAGCTTCACGATAGGCTCTGGCAAGGGCACTGGACAAGCTGGGCGGGTATGGCTCGGCAAGTTTGGCCCAGAAAGCTCCAGAAGGCGTCTTGCCTTCCAGAGCTCGGTGTGGACGGTGCGTGAAAGAACGAAGGCCACGCCCTGTGCACTTGCAAGAGCTGATCGAGTCAAAATTGAGATGGGCATATATCACACGGGTTCTCTTCCTCCAAGCTGTGCCGAAGGCGCAGAAGTCAAACTCCACAGTCTTAACCCCTGGCTGGCGCGCAGCGTGCTGGGCCCAGCGGGTCTGCCAGATCCACGAGGTGGAAGGGTTCTCGATTGCTGCGGGGACTCCGCGCCTGGCACATTCCAAAAACAGGCCGAAAGAGAACTGCGATAACTTGTTACCCGTCTCGACTTTGAGGGAGTCAGCCGACGACAGGTCGGGCAGGCCGAGCACGTGGGCGGCGCCCCGCAGGGGTGGTGGCCCGTTGGGGCGATTCCGCGCCCGTGACCACGAGCTGCAGGGCATCCCAAGCCAGACGCCCTGCAACAGGCCACCACGGAGCCACCCGCTCACCGCGCGCTGGGCTCGCCGCCGGCTGAGGTCACCGAGGGTGGGCTCATGGTCCATGTCCAGCTCGAAGACCCGCGGCGCCAAGCGAGAAGTCATGCTCCGCCGCAGCGCCTGGGACCAATTCCCGGAGGCACTGAAGACCTCCAGGTGCACCTTCGAGTCGGTCAGGTGGGCCCAGGAGCTCAGAATTCTGCATAGGGTGCCTCCGGTAGTCGCGACGCAACCGTGGGCCCGAGACTGTCGGACGGGATGCGGACGCCACAGCACCGCTTGAACTTGACCGCCCCTCGCGTGCTGCATGAGGCTCTTGACGGCCTCCTACTGCCAGCGCTTCTTGATGTAGCCGAACGTCCAGGCGTTTGTCGGACACTCGGGGCTGGACCCCCCGTGGCGCAGCGGATGCGGCATTGGGGGGCCGAGGGCGCCCAGTCCGAGGGCGGCGCCCGCTTGCAGGAGCACCCGCACCCGGAACTGCATGTCCAGGTAGAACAGGAGCGCGTCGATCGCACGTCTCCCCACGAGGCAATCCAGCAGCTGGTCGGCCTCGCTGAACTCTGGGTTGTCCACCTGGAGACTGGTGTCGTGGCCCAGGGCCTTCGACATCACCCTGAGCTCCGTGGGAGACCGCAGGATCGAGTACATGCCCAGATGTGGCGGGCCAGCCCTGACCAGCTGCTCGACCAGCTGGACGCGCAGCGACGGCGTCTCCGACGACCCAAGGCCGAGGATGGACGTCAGGACGACCGTTCGGGCGGCGGCCAGGGAGTCGTACGCCACCATCTAGTCGACCTCCAGGTCCGTGACGCTCGCCGCCGACAGGTAGGCCTTCGTCGACCAGGTCAGGAAAGCTCGGTATCGGACCAGGTAGCTCCAGACGGCCCTGTCCTTCACGGTCCTCAGCTCGAGGAACCATCGCTGGAGCTGATCCCGCCAGCTCGCGCCGCGGGGCAGCCTCGCCTGGCGGTGGCTCGCTCGCCCCGGGCGGTTCGGCGACTCGGCTGCCAGCTCCCGCGGCCCCGCCAGGCTCGCGGCTGCCGTCGCGGGGGCTCACCCAGACAGAAGGCCAGCGAGCCTCCCCTTCGAGGCCGGGCGGGGGCCCGATGTCGGCCCAGCTCTCGCCAGCAGGCTATCCGTGCCCGCTCGCAAGGCTGGGGCCGCCCGCGGCAGCGCCGAGGCAGCAGGCGTCGGCCGCCGCGGCCGCGTAGCCCACGCCTGGCAGGTTCCTGGAGGCGCGGTCGGCCGAGTTCCTCTCCGAGGGGGCCCAGCGCCAGAAGAATGCCGCGCCGCTAGCCAGCGAAAGGGGCGCCAGCTGCCGGCACACGCGGCCCATCTCCCGCCGCGGATGAACGCACCCTGGTGGCGGCCAGGATGGCTCCCAAACAGTCGCCCAAGCAGAGATGGCATCGGTTGAATGATGAGACACGTCGACGGACATGACGAACGGCCACGACCATGCCGCGGGCCTCCAAGACAACCTGATGCTCTGGACGACTCCAGCGATGAGACACCACGGGGACCCAGCCTTTCGCCCAGACGTCGTATGGAATTTCGGGAAACTCCTCCCCGTCCTCGATGTCATTGACCATCTCCTCCTCCATGTGCGCCCCCTTCGTCACGGACTCCTTGACGGGCTCTTCTACGGGCACCTCCAGGGGCTCCTTGATCGGGGCCTTCGGGTCCCCGGAGCAGTCGACGGTGAAGACCGACTCTGGGGTGAAGGGGTCGGCGGAGGTCGCCGACTTGAAGGCGTGGGGCCGATGCGACATCTCTGACTCCTGATGAGTACTGACTCTCCATCTCTCATTGTACTTGGAGAGCTCACGAGCGACTGGGGCAGACGACTTTTTCTGAGTGACTACAACTCCCCACCACGATGAATCAACCAGAAACAGAACACGACGAGGCTGGCGCACCAGCGGAGCTCGCGGAGGCAAGAGGGCCACAGCCGCGCCGCGCGGCCTCAATACTGGGCAGAAAAAGCGCACAGCGAGTTGAGGGCGGCCAAAAACTCTCGGCGAATCAGACCCCGCGAGGTGAAATAGGACACCACGCGCGAGATCGTCTTGCCCGAAGCATATCCCCTTCGACACAGCTCCAGGCAGGCCAACCGCAACTTCCAGCGGAGCGCTGGGTTCAGGCCGATGATCGGGCACTTCTCGTCGAACTGCCAGCCTAGTGCCACGGCGCCAAAGCTGCTCTCGACTCCGTGGGTAGGGAGACCCGCTGCACGAAGGTTCGAGTCCACGGCCGACGCCGCGGCGACCGCCGTCTCCAAGTCCGTAGAGAGGCTCATCGCATTGTCCACGCACTCGGCATGAATCACACCCTCGGACACCAGCGGCACAGGTCGGCGGTCCACGAAGCGGTTCGCGAGGGAAAGCTGGGGCACCTTCAGAGCCACCCCCTCCAGCGTCGCCTGGCAGATCCAGAGGCTGAAGGAACAGCCCATCGGGGGGCACCTGAAGCACGGGTACACCAGGTCGGTTCCCGCCAGGCGCCGCCCGTCCGCTGTGCTCTCGACGCCCAGCAACCCAGCGCGGCAGCCAGGGAGCGCGAAGTACCTCCTGAACTTCGGAGGCAGCAGCATCGTGTAGAGCGCGTCCGCCAGGTCGACCTCCGCCACCGCGATGGGCTTGCCCCCGTCCACGTGGAGGCCAGCGAAGGTCGCACCCGACGCTAAGGCGACCTTGTCGGGGACCTGGAAGTGCAGAGATGCGTGCCTGCCGTCCAGGACGAGCCGCAGCTTACCCGACTTCTTGTAAACGAAGAAGACACCTACGTTGCAACACTTGTCCTTGTAGAAATCGAGAAGATTCCGGCGCTCGAGGATCCGCAGCAGCTGGACATACAGCTTGGGGTTCCTCAGCGCCGGGTCGGTGCAGAGCTTCCAGGGGCCCTCAGACTCGATCCGAGCACGACCCTCAGACTGGGACAACATCATACCATGAAGCCGCTCGACTATCTTTCGGCCAGCATCCCCTCCCAGCGCGTCAAGCGGCACGGGCTTGAACCCTCGTCTGGAAGCGAGAGACTATTGATATTATCAAAGTCGAGCGGAGCGACTGTGGCGCTCTCGCCAGCATAGTCGCTGAGAACTAGGAGCTCCTCGAGGGCTCCTGAGCCAGTCAATCCCTCCGGGGGCGCGCCGAACCGTCGGACTGCGTCTCGAACGTTGTCCAGGGCCTGCCGCTGGCCCGCAGCGATGGACTGAGGGTGGCTGACGGGGCGCCAGGGCTGGCTAAGGTGCAGCTCGTTGAGGGTCCGAACGATCTCGCCCTCCATCGAGTTGGCGCGGCCCTTGCGGAGAACCCGACGCGCCACCGAACGTGAATAAGCGATGCCCTGCGCCTCCGAAGTCGCCCGATGCTGTCGACCGGGCCCAGGCAGTGGACATAGATCGCGCTGTCGTCCAGCACGATCGCCCAACGAATGCAACTCACCAGCAGGCGGCGGGCCACCGCCGCTGGGCCCCCCTCCGAAAACACGCGCACCGCCGGGGGGAAGCGGCACACGCGGTCGTGGACCCGCCATGACTGCAAGGCCCGCGGCTCCTCGCGGGCCTTGCGAACTTACTTCAGCACCGAAGCGTCTATCCCCACCTCCTTCGCCACGTGCTCGAAGAGCAAGGGGCAGCTCACGCTCCCCCCCTGGCCTCGAGGGAGACCCGCGAAGACGGTGCCATCGTTGATGAACCCGAAGCTCAGCAGGACCTGGCGTCCACCGCCTTGGCCGCGGCCTCGGGCCTTCTTCTTGTCGTGCCCCTCGTCGCCTCCGTCTCCGACAGGGGGCGCACAGAGGTGAGGATCTCGATCCACGTCGTACACGTACTTATACGTCAAGCACGTCCTGCACATCTGCTCTCCATCCGGCGGGTTCGGCACGTCGAGGCCGCCCCAGTGGGAGAGGGTGTAGATGGCCCGCACATTTGCCTCGTGGGCGCCGCCTCCGCACTCCTCGGTCGACAGCCCAGGGCCGAGCCCCCAGAACCTGAGGCGGTCGAAAGGACCGCCCTGGCGTCGGTCTATGAACTGACAGCTCCAGAACCACATGCGGGGGCCAGGAAAGTACCAGTCCACGAACGTTGAACGACTCCTCTGTGAAGTAGGCCACAGCACCGCGCCACTGCGTCGAGAGCCTGCCGCTCAGAACCGCTGGGTTCGCGACGATGCTCCACATCAGCCTGGCGTCGGAAGAGGCCTCCCTCCCCGCGTAGGTCTGCGCGGGCTCGGAGATCGAGCGGACGGCCACCCACGTCCCGTCAGCCAGCGGCATCAAGCTGGCGGCCCCGCGGAGGTGCGAGCCAGCAGGCGGGATCACCACGGCCGTGGGGGCCCCGGCGCCTGCGGCGGCTAGCCCAGCGCCCGCGCCAGGCCCAACGCCTCCTGCGGGACCGAAGGTCAGCGGAACGGCGAACGGCCCGCCCGACATCGGCAGCCGCAGGCGCAGGTGGTCGGCGGCCAGAGCGGCGGTGCCGTAGGCCAGCGCAGTCGGGTCGATCTGCTGCATCTGCGCCGCCGTGCGGTTCCTTCCGAACCCGTACGAGTTGACGGCACCAACGCCTGGAGGGAGAACAGCACGATCTGATGTGAACCTCACCGCAGCGATGCCTCTCCCCTGGCGTGAGTAGCCTTCCTCATAAATGTCATTGACCACCGCACAGAGGAACACCATCCACTGAGTGACTCTCTCCAGTCGAGTCCACCCCCGTCGCCCTGGATCAGACGCTGGTGCCACATCTGCTCTCCTTCGTAACGTTCGTAGTGGACTGACGCTCCTGGGAGCATCCCATGAGGTGCTGCTCCCACGGGGCCCTCGTTCTGCACGGTCAGCCCTGCGGCGGCAGCACATCAGCACGACACGGTTCCACGACAGAGCGCCGTAGGCCAGAGCCAGGACCAGCAAGAGAGCCTCTTTCACCAGCACCACAGACCAGACTGAGGAGGGCTGTCTTGGTTCGCTGCTGCCCCCGCCGTTCGCCGAGGGCGTGGCGGGAACGGGGGAGCCCCCGGGACACGTCGGACAGCCAGGACAAGGCGGGCACACACAGCTCGGTATGGCAGGGCAAGAAGGGACGTGGACTGGTGGGCACCTCTGCAGGTTGCTGCCCAAGAGATAGGCGAACGTTCCCTGCCAAATGTACTGGGCGGCAGGGAGCCAGTAATCCATACGCACTGCCTTGGTGCAAATTCTTGAGCCCCAAACCCACGGAAGCGATCTAACATCGACGGCCTGGACTCGGACAGGATAAGGAAAGACATGCACGCATAAGATATACATAAATACATACATACATACATACATACATACATACATACATACATACATGCATACGCACAAACAAACATACATACAGGCACGCATACATACATACATACATGCACACACGTACACACATGCATACATCCATACATACATACACACATACATACAACATGCATACGTAATGCATACATGCATGCATGCATGCATACATACATGCATTCATACATGCACACATGCTGTCATACCCACATACATTCACGCATGAATAAATACGTACATGTACACGTACATGGATGCACACATACACACACATGCAGACATGCATGCGTACATACATAGACATACCCACGCATGCATGCACACATACATTCATACATGCATAAGTGCATGCGTACATGCATACACATATGTATACCTACATGTCTACACACATACATGCATAACTACATACATACAGACATACATACATACGAGAAAACGCGTTTCATGGGCGCTTGCCTTGGGAACATTCGGCGGCGCGTTTCGAACGGGGGGGTGGGTTCCCCCCCCCAACACTCGGCGCCGTCGATCAAAACCAGGGGGACCCCCCTCCCCCCAAAACCCCCCCTCCCCCCCTCCCCCCAGGCGCCGGCGCCGGCGGCTGCCAGCAGCGCCGACGGCGGGGACGCAGCGACGAGGACCAGAGGCAGCCCAATGGGGGGGGGGTTCAAACCCCTCCCCCCCCCCGCCGGCGCTGGCGCCGGCGACGGCGGGGACGCAGCGACGATAACGACCACTACCACCACAACCACCACCACTACCACCACCGCCACCGCTTCAACCCACCACCACTACCACCAACCCACCACACAACCACCACCACCAACACAGCCACCACCACCACCACAATCATCACCACCACAACTAACCATCACCACCACCACCACAAAAACCCACCACCACTACCACCACCACCACCACCACAATCTACCACGCCACCACCACCACCGCCAGAACCACCACCACTACCAGCAGCACAACCCACCACCACCACCACAAACCACCACACCACCACCACCGCCACCACCACCACCACCAGCACCACCTCCACAAACCACCGCCACCATCACAACCCACCACAACCACCACAAACCACCACCACACCACCACCAAACCACTACCACCACCACCACCACCACAACCCACCACCACCACCACCACAAAGCACCACCACACCACCACCACACCACCACTACCACCCACCACCACAACACCACCACCATCACAACAAACCACCACACCACCACCACCACAACCACCACCACAGCCACCACCACCACCGCCACCACCACCACCACAACCCACCACCACCACCACCGTCGTCCTCGTCGACGCTCCCCGCCGCCGCCCGCCCGCCGCCACAGGCGCCAGCGCCGGCCCAGAAAAGGAAATTGTCGTCCCCGCCGCCGCCGCCGCCAGCCGAGGAGAGGGAGAGGGGGGGGGGTCGAACGCCCCCGCCCCTCTCCGTCACGGGAGGGGAGGGGGGGAGGGGAGGGGTTCGAACCCCCTTCCCCCTCCATCCAGGGGGGGGTCCGGTTTCAACCCCCCCCTTCAAGCGACCACAGAACGCGCTCTTTCATACACACATACATACATACATACATACATACATACATACATACACACACACACATACATACATACATACATACATACACACACAGACATACATACATACATACATACATACATACATACATGCATGCATGCATGCATGCATACATACGTACATACATACATACATACATACATGCATGCATGCATGCATGCACATACATACATACACATATACTTACATACATACATACATACATATAAACATACATACATACATACATACATACATACATACATACATACAAACATGCATACATACATACATACATACGTACGTACGTACGTACATACATACATACGTACATACGTACGTAGATACGTACGTACATAGACACATGAGTACATACCTACATATATACATACTCATATACATATACGCATACAAACATATACACATACATACACACATACATGCATACATATATGCATGCATGCACACATACACACAAACAACCATATACACGTACACTCACATAAACACATACCTACATGCATACATGCATGTATACATACACACACGCGCATACATACATATGTACATACATGCATATATACATACCGACATATATACACACATACATATATACACACGTACGTACATACATACAGGTCTGCATCCATGCATGCACGCATGCATGCATCCATACATACGTGCATGCGTGCAGGCATACTGCATACATGCATACACGCATACATGCATACATGTATACATGCAAACATCCATGCATGCACACATGCATGCATGCATACATGCATACCTGCATACATGCATACACGCAAACACACATACATACATGCATGCATGCAAGCAACCATACATACATATATATATATATATATATACATACATATATATATATATGCATGGACTGCGTTGGAGCTTCGTGCCATGCACCTTAGTCCTTCACGTCTAACATGCAGGCATAACTAGAGAGAGGTAGATCAATCAAAACAACGATAGTTTTGGGTTGCAATGGTCGCCATCATCGATCTCATGTTGTTGTTCCTACTCCTTCCCTCATGTGTCCTCTTCCTCTTCCTCTTCCTCGTTCTCGCCTTTGTTGCCCCGCGAACCCTTCCCCGTCCTCCCCTGATTTGTTTGCGGAGGCTCCTCCGAGGTGAGCTTCTGGAGGACCTCGCGAAAACTTTTTAATGGCTCCTTGCGTGTCTCTGCAAACATCCCTGGCGCCATTTGGCGGCCTCTGGAAGCTTCTTCGGGCCACGATGCCGCGAACCGTAATCTCGGGTCGCAAATTGAACGCTTCTGGAGGGCGTCCTGGAGCACTTTTTGGCCCGTCATGGGACCCTATGTTGGCAAGTTCTGAATCCTCGTGGGCCGTCTTGGGGCTCTCTCGAACTGTCAGGAAATCTTTTTTAGTCGTTTTGGAGGGGTTTTCGACGCCGCTCGGGCGTTCTCGGACGCCGGGAAGAAAGACTAACAGATTAGCCATACAAAACCCAGCGGGGAATCAACCTTTTCTGCGTTTCGAAGGCCTCTCGGGGGTGATCTTTGGGCCGTCTTCGGGAGTCTGGCGGGGGTCCGGGGCCGCTGGAGGCCATCTTGGACCGTCTTGGGGGTCTCTTGGGGCCGCTGCCGACATGTTTGCACAGCTTGACAGGGACTTCCAGGGGCCGGGAATCTCGCGGGACCCTCTGAGGAAGCGTCCAGGAGCCCTGGACGCTGGAGATCCCGGTCCGCAGGGTCCCAGATTGTAAAACACATGCAACAGGGAATCTTTACACTGTGCACTTTATCTGCAAATATACACATATGTACAATACTACATCGTATACAGAGAGATGAAGAGAGAGAGAGAGAGAGAGAGAACCCCCAAACAAAAACTAAAGAAATGGAGGGAGGGAGGGAGCGAGAGAGGGAGGAGGAGAAGGAACCGGAAGGAGGACGAGCGGATGAGCGGGACAGGAAGCGCAGGACGAGGCGGGAGAACGCGAGGGAGGACAGCAGAGGAAGGGGGCAGGCTGGGAAGGGAGGGTGGGAGAGGAAAGGGGGCGGATGGGGAGGGGGGACAGGGAGGAGTTGGGGAACAGATAGCAGAGGGGCGCCGGCACATTAAGGAGGGGTCGAGGGGGGAAAAGAGGAGCAGAAAGAAGGATATGGGAGAGGGGACAGGGCGAAGGGATGGGAGAGGGCAGTGGAGGGAGGAGGGCGAGGGAAGGGGGGGGGGTAATACTATCATGCTTTCTTTACAATACAAACAGAAACGTAACAATACTAACAAGATGAAAGGGGGAGAAGGAGGGGGGCTGGAGGAAACTGGCAGCGGCGGGGGAGGAGACGAAGCGGCATGATGAGAAAGGAGAGGCGCACGCGGTGAACAAAAAAGGATGACAAGAAAAGAGCGGGGATCGGGGCGAGGATGATGATGATGCTGCTGCTGATGATGACGATGATGATAATGATGGTGAGGAGGAGGAGGACGAGGAGGAGGTCGGCTCACAGGGGGGAGGTACGAGAAGGCCGTAACAGCACACAGGGCGTAGCCCAGCGGAAACATTACCTTTTTTGCACACCCGTGCAGGACGCCATTCCAGGACGCCATTCCACGGGCGGCCAGCGACGCGGCGCGGCCCCAACCCAAAACCGAGAGGCATAGAGGCGGACATGGCCACGCAGCTCGGCTCCACCCAGCCGGAGCCTCCAGGCGGTGGTCGCGCCTGACCAGCTGCTGAAGCCAAGTTCGAGCACGCCTGTCAAGGGCTCCAGACTTGATACGGACACGTGTTTGGGCGGCACGCTCTGCTGCAAGCGTCGCGGGCGAGAGCGGTCGAGACAGTGACATCGCGAGGGCAAGGGGCACCCTGCCAGGAGCACAGTCTGCGCAGGCAAACCCAAAGCATGCAAATCCGCCGACCCCAGAGGCGTGTGAGATTCAGCTCTCGTCCAGGGATCTTCTGACCCCCAGCTGGGACCCCCCCACCACCCCTAGCACCGCCAGCCTCCTCGAGCCTCTGGGCACAGGCTCTGAGGCGCCAGCAAACATCGCGCCAGACCCCCCCCGCCACCCGCACCACTGCCAGTCTCCTCAAGCCTCTGCGCAAAGGTTCTACGGGGCCACCCACCTAGCAAAAATTGCGCCTGGACACCCCCGCCATCCCGTACACCCAGCCAAATCCGCACTGGGACCTCCCCACCACCCCTGACACCGCCAGCTTCCTGGAGCCGCTGGGCACTGTCGGGGATGGACAGAACCCCCTTTAGTAAAACGTGGTTTAGTGAAAACGACCTGAGGCCCAAACCTGGCGGGCGCAAGCCTGGAAAATAACGGCCACGGCGCCCTCTCGAGAACCGAAAACGGACAATTCACTAATCGACGTGTCACTGTTGGGGGTTCTGTCCACCACCGACACTGGTCCTTAAGGGCCACCCACCCAACAAAAACCGCGCCGGGACCCCCCAACCACCCCTCACACCGCCAGCTTCCTGGAGCCTCTGGGCACAAGTTCTTACGGACCACCCACCCAGCAAAACCCCGCGCTGGGACACTCCCACCACCCCGCGCCGGGACCCCCCCGCCACCCCTGACACCGCCAGCCTCCTGGAGTCTCTGGGCATAGGTTTATCGGGGCCACCCATTCAACAAAAACTGCGCCGGCACCTCCCCACCACCCCTGACACCGCCAGCCTCCTGGAGCCTCTCTGGGCACAGGTTCTGAAGCGCCACCCATCCAGCAACAAACGCGCTGGGACCCCCACCACCCCTGACTCCGACAGCCTCCTGGGGTTTCTGGGTACAGGTTCTTCGGGGCCATCCACCCAGCAAGAACCGCGCCGGCACCCCCACCACCCCTGACACCGCCAGTCTCCTGGCCCCTTTGGGCACTGGTTCTTAGAGGCCACCCACCCATCAAAAACCCCGCAGGGGCCACCCACCCACCACCCGACACCGCCAGCCTCCGGGAGCGTCTGGGCGCAAGTTCATCGGGGTCCTCCATTCAGCAAAAACCGCGCCGGCACCCCTCCACCACCACTGACACCGCCAATCTCCTGGCCCCGTTGGGCACTGGTTCTTAGAGGCCATCCATCAAGAAACAACCGCGCCGACCCCCCACCACCCCTGACACCGGCAGCCTCCTCGATCATCTGGGTACAGGTTCATCGGGGTCATCCACTCAGCAAAAACTGCGCTGGTACCTCCCCACCACCCCTGACACGGCGAGCCTCCTGGATCCTCTGGGCACTGGTTCTCAGGGGCCACCCACCCAGCAAAAACCACGCCGGGACCCCCCCCCACCCCTGACACCGCCAGCCTCCTCGAGCCTTTGAGCAGAAGTCTTTCGGGGCCACCCATCAAGCTAAAACCGCGCCGAGACCCCCCCACCACCCCTGACACCGCCAGTTTCCTGGAGCCTCTGGGCACAGGTTCTTCGGGGCCACCCACCCAGGAAAAACCGCGCAGGGGCAACCCACCCACAACTTCTGAAACCGCCAGCCTCCTGGAGTATCTTAGGGGCCACCCACCCAGCAAAAACCACACCGGGAACCCCTCCACCACCCCTGACACCGCCAGCCTCCTGGATCCTTTGGGCACAGGTTCATCGGGGTCATCCATCCAGCAAAAACTGCGCCAGTACCTCCCCACCACCCCTGACACCGCCAGCCTCCTGGAGCCTCTGGGCACAGGATCTCAGGGGCCACCAATCCAGCAACAGACGCGCCGGGACTCCCCCACCGCCCCTGACTCCGCCAGCCTCCTGGAGCCTCTGAGCAGAGGTTCGTCGGGGCCACCCACCCAGCAAAAACCGCGCCGGCACACCCCCACCACTCCTGAAACCGCCAGCTTCCCGGAGCATCTGGGCACGGGTTCTTACGGACCACCCACCCAGCAAAACCCCGCGCTGGGACACTCCCACCACCCCGCGCCGGGCCCCCCCCGCCACCCCTGACACCGCCAGCCTCCTGGAGTCTCTGGGCATAGGTTTATCGGGGCCACCCATTCAACAAAAACTGCGCCGGCACCTCCCCACCACCCCTGACACCGCCAGCCTCCTGGAGCCTCTCTGGGCACAGGTTCTGAAGCGCCACCCATCCAGCAACAAACGCGCTGGGACTCCCCCACCACCCCTGACTCCGACAGCCTCCTGTGGTTTCTGGGTACAGGTTCTTCGGGGCCATCCACCCAGCAAAAACCGCGCCGGCACCCCCACCACCCCTGACACCGCCAGTCTCCTGGCCCCTTTAGGCACTGGTTCTTAGAGGCCACCCACCCACCAAAAACCCCGCAGGGGCCACCCACCCACCACCCGACACCGCCAGCCTCCTGGAGCGTCTGGGCACAAGTTCATCGGGGTCCTCCTTTCAGCAAAAACCGAGCCGGCACCCCCACCACCCCTGACACCGCCAGTCTCCTGGCCCCTTTGGGCACTGGTTCTTAGAAGCCATCCATCAAGAAAAACCGCGCCGGGCCCGCCCCACCACCCCTGACACCGCCAGCTTCGGTGGTGGAGGTGGAGGCGTTGGTTGTGGCGGTATCATTGGCGGTGGTGGTGGTTGTGGTGGTGGGGTGGTGGTGTGTGTGTGTGTGTGCGTGTGTGTGTGCGTGTGTACGTGGTGGGTGTTGTGCGGTGTGCGGCGTGCGGTGTGCGGTGTGCGGTGGGCGGTGTGTGGTGTATGGCGGTGGGTGATGTGTGTGTGTGGTGTGTGCGGTGTGCGGTGTGGTGTGTGGTGTGTGGTGTGTGGTGTGTGGTGTGTGGCGTGTGGCGTGTGGTGTGTTGTGTGTCGTGTGTTGCGTGTGGTGTATTGCGGGTGGTGTGTTGCGTGTGGCGTGTTGCGTCTGAGGAGTTGCGTGTGGAGTGTTGCGTGCGGTATGTTGCGTGTCGTATGTGCATGTGGTGTGTTGCGTGTGATGTGTGGCATGTGGTGTGTTGCGTGAAGTGTGTATGTGTAAGGTGTGTGGTGTGTTGAGTGTGGTGTGTTGCGTGTGGTGAGTGGCGTGTGGTGTGTTGCGTGCACTCACAGCGCGGGCTGGCTCACAGCGTGGGCTCAACACAACGTGGGCTCACAGCGTGGGCTCACAGCGTGCACCCACAGCGTGCACTCACAGCGTGCACTCAATCACTCACGATTAAGCGAATTTCCACTCACGCTTAAGCGAATTTTCACTCACGGTTTGGCTTCACCTTCCCTGTTTCCTTTTCCGACGCTCCGGCCCGAGGTCCCCAATACCACCCCAGGACTGCCCAAGTGGCCTCCAAGAGAGCCCCAAGAGCCCCAAGAGCCCCAAGAGGCACCCAAGAGGCCTGAAGAGGCTCCAAGATGCCCCCAAGGGACCCAACAGCGACCCCAAGAGGCTCCAAAACTGCCTCGAAGAGGCCTCAAAACTGCATCCAAGTGGCCGCAAAACTGCCCCCAAGAGGCCTCAAAAAAATCCACCACGAAATCCCAGCGAACATCCAATAGGCTTCATACCAACAACCTAGGCACAGCGGCGGGAAGGCCATTCGATAGAGAGGAGTCCGAGGTGCAACAGAGAATCATGAGTCCAGGGGGCGAGGCTCAGGCCTGGATGTCTCACCTGAACCCTTCCTGTCGCACTCGGAAAGGCACCCCGACAACAAACGAATCAAACATACGTCGTTCAGCTGGTGTCGGCGGCAGAGGCGGCAGCCTTTGGATAAAAGTTGGGGAGGAGAGGGAGGAAATATGTTGTTTCCCTTCTTGTTTCATGTGTTCTTGATTATTGTTCTCTTTTTTTCGGGAGCGGCCAAGAGGGGGGTGTCCAAAGGGGGGGGGGGCAGATCATGACCTGCGGCACGTCCGCGGCCCAGCGGGGGAGGCCAGGGACGTAACGAAATAAGAAGAGGCGCCCTGGAATCAGGGGAAGTATCATGGCCCCCGCCATGATATCCACCCCCCCTAGTCAACGCCCCCCTCTTTTCCGCCCCCGATTTTTCGGAGGGAATGAAACCGGGCTCAACATGTCGCAGCAGGTCCCCCCTCGGGCGGCCACGTGCACGGCGCGCCTGGGGAAGGGCAGAGAGGCCTGAGGTGCACCAGGCAGCCGCGACGGCCCAGAGAAAGGAGGGAGGGAGGAGGGAGGAGGGAGGAGGAATATGAGGAGTTGGTTTACTGGTGCGTTGGTAGATTGGTGCATGAAGGTGGAGGTACGTTTGGACCCCTCCCTGCAGCCGTCTTCGTTGACCGAGGGGCTGCAGGGAGGTCCTCGGCCCCCTCCATTGGCTAGTGACGCCGTAAAGTATTGGTGTAATGGTGTATTGGTGGGAGAGGGCGACCCCCGCGGCCCCTATGATGGCAGCCGCAGGGGGTGTGAGGCCTATGATGGTCCTCACTGGTGAGGCCTATGATGGTCCTCACCGGGGTGGGGGTGGGGGAAGAGGGCAGAAAGTCGAAGCGGATGTCCGGCAGCAACGTCCTGGGGGGATACCTGAAAAGGGGACTTAAAAACAACGTCTGTCCTCCGCCTATGTTCCAGAGGAGCCCCGTTCAAAAAGCAGAGGCAGAGAGAGAGAGGGAGAGAGAGAGAGAGAGGGAGAGAGAAGAGAGAGAGGGAAGAGAGAGGGAGAGAAAGAGAGAGAGAGAGAGAGCGAGGCAAAGACGAGGACAAATGTGCACGCCTCGGGGGGGGTCGGCCCCCGGACCCGGAAGATACGAAATACACAAATTTCGTATCACAAGGTAGCTGGCAGCGAAGCTGCATCATGGCACCCTGGGAACGTGCAGCGGCAGGGATGCACCACCTGGAGTGCGAAAGCGACACGTGGTGACGTCAACCCGGCCGAAGCCCAGTGACCAGAGGAGGCCCCCAGAGGCCGACAAGGGTCACAGGCCAGAGGTATCCACGACCTGTACCCCCCCCGCGGGCGCGATTTATTTTCTCCGCCAGCACGGAGGGACCGGTACACCCAACAGCACGGAGATCCGACAGCGGATAGGCCGGTGCACCCAAAAAAACATGGATGGATCGGTACACCCAAAGGCACTGATTGGCTTTATCCCATGGGGTGGAGTACCCGCAGGGGCATACACCCGTAACCCACGACACACACACACACACACACACGCACACACACACACACACACACACACACACACACACACACGCACACACACACACACGCACACGCACACACGCGACCACGCACCCCGGGGGCACACGACGAAAAAGACACAGCAAGAAGAGGACGCCTCGAACCTCGGAGCTGCGGCCAAAAGTCCTGACAGGGGCACCTGAAACGGGATACCTGAAAGAGGGAAGCCGCCTGACCGGGGGACCTGAAGCCGAAGGAAAACGACAGGGGGGGACGATCCAAGGCGGCCCCTGGACAGCTCTCGGCGAGGGCCGCTGCTCCGGACGTGTAGATTGGACGGCGGCTATACCCATCCATGAAGAAAGGCGGGGGGGGGGGAGGAGGAGGAGGAGGAGGAGGGGAGTAGGCCCAGCCACACACCTGCGCCCCAAGTGGCAGACGGAGGTGGCTGGGAGGGTTTTACATACCCGTCCTTGGAGAGCTCGGCTTAAGGGCGGGGAGCGGGAACGACCTCATGAGTGACGCCGCGGCGGCACATGTGACACCGCGGCGGCACGGGTCGAACCGTCACCCTTGGTGCACTGGTGCACTGGGTTGGCAACTGACGCCACAGAGTAATAGATTACTGACATTGACAGGCACCGTCGGCCGGCAGGGGATAAATCCCGTTCACGGCCCCATGGAGGAATATGAGGAGTTGGTTTACTGGTGTGTTGGTAGATTGGTGCATGAAGGTGGAGGTACGTTTGGGCCCCTCCCTGCAGCTGTCTTCGTTGGCCGAGGGGCTGCAGGGAGGTCCTCGGCCCCCTCCATTGGCTATTGACGCCGTAAAGTATTGGTGGGAGGAGGGAGAGGAGGGGGACGCAGCTGGAAGAGGAGGAGAGGCAGGAGGAGACGGAGGAGGAGGAGGAGGAGGAGAAGGCGGAGGATTGCGTTGGATGCTGCTGGTTTGGCCTTCGAATCGTCGAATGACGCCGAGTGGCGGCGAAGAAAGCTTCCCGTACCCCAGGCCGTCCATGGGGGACTCGCGTCGACAGTCCCGGCTGCCACTGCCTGTTTTCTGGCACTGTTTCTCGGTCCGGCGTCTCCCGCGCGAACTGGCCCCAGCACTGTAGCTGATGACGTTGGCTCGCGCGGTATCGCCGCAAGGACCGCCCCCAGAACGGTAGCTGATAACACTGCGGATCGTTGCTGGTCCCTGCTCGCCTGCTGTCGCACGCACCACTCCAAACATTGTAGCTGTTGATGTGCTGATCCAGCTTCCTCATATGTGCCTGCACTTTGGAAGCGGCGCCACAACTGGCGCCTCTGCTCGCCAAGAGGTGGAGGGGCGGGAGGAGGGGAGAAACGTGGAGAGGACGGAGCGTGCCACGCCTCCTGGCTGGTGCGCACGCGCCTGATCTCAGCAGTTGTAGATGATCACGCGGGGCGCCACGCTTCGTGATGTCTGCTCTCGCGAGGTGGGCCGCTTCGAAGTTTGCCCGCGAACCGTCCTTGCGCGCCCCGTGCAGGGGGGGACCGCTCGGGCGCGAAATGGCTAGGAGGGAAGGAGGAGGAGGAGGAGGAGGAGGAGGAGGAGGAGGAGGAGGAGGAGGAGGAGGAGGAGACGAGCGTAGAGGGGGCAACGTCGTCACCAACAACGGCTAGAGACCCCGTGGCCTCTAGCCGCTGTTAGTGACGGAGGAGGGAGGCGGGAGGACGGAGGAGGGAGGCGGGAGGCGGGAGGCGGGAGGACGGAGGAAGGAGGGAGGAGGGAGGAGGGAGGAGGGAGGAGGGATCAGGGAGGAGGGAGGAGGAGGAGGAGGACTGGACTGGACTGGACGATCTGCGCATGGTCTATCTCTGGAATCAAGTGCTCAAAGGGCGACCGCAGGGCGCTGCTGAGACGTTATGCTCATAGCGTTGTCAAACTTCCGAGGGGCCCCCTCCCGAACGACTCGGGGACACCTCGATCGGAGAACGGCACAGGGTCGAGAAACCTGCAATCGTCTACGCGTAGACGGACAAAATTCGAGAGAGCTCTCTCACAGCGTGGAAGGACCAAGGGACGAAGGACAGACGAAACGAAGCAGGGGAGCAGAGGGAGGAGGAGAGAATCAAGATGCATATGCTTGAAACGTTGCTATTTCGTCTTATTCGAATAAGACGAAATCGTGGGCCAGGGAGAGGACAATCAGGTGCCTGCAGCACCTCCTCGTCGCCCTCGGCCTCTACCAGAACCCTTTCCTCGGCGTCCTTTGCTGGCGGGGCTGCGACCTGGATTCCACTCACCCCTGAATTGGATTCGACCGCGCTCAAGAACAGACCCACGGGGGATAGGAGGAGGAGGAGGAGGAGGAGGCTCAACGGGGACGAGGTGGGGGGGATTGGGTCCGTTCCCAAAATCAGCATTCGCTCGAGGCTCAGTCTCATTATGATTCACGCTCGCTTGTGGCGGGCCCCCCGGAGCATTTTCTCCAGGGAGTTATGAGCGCGACGCTCTGGATTCGACCTGGGGGGGGGACCCATCTTCGCAACGCTCCCCAGACCGAGAAGAAGGGTAGATATCACAGCACTCATGGGAAGACGCACTCCGTTGGGCCCGCTCGCCCAACTGTTTATGAAAAAAATGTGCCTGACCATTTTCGGGGACCCCTCCTTCACGTAGGCCGTCTTGGCCCTCCAGTACTTGAAGAACTCCGCTACTACGACGATCGGCTGACCCTTGATCCACTCCAAGAGGCTCTGCGGGGCTTTGAGGCTGTCCGCCAGCTGAGGGTTCGACTGCAACGTCGCATGGTTGGCGATCGTGGTCAGGACGGCCATCGCCACGCACGCGCTGGGGGGCCCCATCTGGTGGTCGGGATTGCTCTGGGCCGTCTCGACGTACTTGGTTGCCGCTGCCACGCCTGGAGGGTTGATCGTGCACTCGCTCGGAATCAGGTGCGTCGTCAGGACCGAGCCTTCCAGTGCCCTCGTCCTCTGGGCCACATTCAGGTAGCCTTTCATCGCCGCCTGAGCAGTCTCGTCCTCGCTGTCGTCGTCGTCCAGCGCCGCCATCGGAGCGTCCTTCCTGGAGCCTGCCGCCTGAGAGGCATCTGCGGCGGCATGCCTGGGCTGCTTCTGCCTCCTTCCGAGTCCGCCACCTGAGAAGAAGTTCATCTGAGAGGGATCTGCCAACCTCTTCTTGGCGGTCTCGAGCTCCGTCGGGTCCATCTGAAGGTTCCAAGCCGCCATGGCTCGATGAGGCGTCAACTGCAAAAGAGAGAACAGCGTCAGAAAGATCAACGTCTGAACGTATGTGTATCTGAAGTGCTGTAAGTGTCGGGTGATCTCGACCACAAGCTGGGCATTCAAATGAGTGCGGCTCCACGACAGGATGATGCGCGGGGCTACGATCACACTGGCATATCTTATTCTGGAAAAGTCGACGTGCATGTTGCCGTGAAATAGCATGTGTTGAATGAGTAGACATGCACCATGGACACTGATTTGTTACTGTTAAGATTTGGGATAAAGCTCGCTCTCCATGGCTCCCCTCGCGACAAAACCTCATATGCGCATACCGCCCCTGTTGTTCTGTGAATTCGAGCCCACAAATGGTCCCGTTATCCAGAGTCTCTTGGCAAATCCACGTTTTTGGGGCCGGTGGGGGATCAGGGTCGGGAGCGGCATCAGCACCGGCACCGCCTCCTCCTCCTCCTCCATCTGCAGCAGCAGCAGTAGCAGTAGGAACCCGTCGACGCCCAAACTCATCTATCGTGTTCTCCCAGTAGAGCCCCCGAAGCCTCTGGAAATTGATCTTTTTGAACCTGGGGGCGAACTCCTCCTGGAAGATTTTTAAGTGGATGCCCCCCATGGCCTGCAAGAGCTCAGCACCACGATCCAAGAGTGTCAACATGTTTAGATCATTTAACACCTGGAGAGCCCACGGGTTACGTACCTTGAAACTGTCCTGCGGCATTGCGCACAAGGAGCCAGTCACGGAAGGTGGGCTCAGCCTCGCCAGTCATCTGGCCGAACATAGCGGCGAGCAGCTGACGGTTGTCTGCACGATGGTTCGCAAGTTGCTGAAGCCATCGAAGACGACGAATTCTCCATTCAAGCGGTGCGGGCACAAGTCCTAGACGTGTCCAGGTCTTCTGAGTAGGCAGAGATACATGTTTGATACTACCATCGGGATTGTGGAACTTGGTTACTGCATCACCTTTAAGTAATATTCGTCCCCATTGTAGGAGTAGACTGTCAATCATGTTGTAGTCGCTATTAATCAATATGAAAGCTTCTAACCCACTTAGCCCCGCAGATTGAACTCTAGCTTGAAAAACAAGTAGGTGAATTCGACGTGGAACCCGATTCGTAAACCAGAAACGCCCCATGGAGTACCAAGCCTTGCGCATGTTTTTTTGGATGTGCTGGCGTTGCTGCGCGGTTGTGCCATTGCCATGGTATTGGACCCCAAGGTACGTAGCATGAACGGCGATTCGACCAGGAAGCGACGAAGTTGGGTTCGTGAACTGCCTCGATTGCTGGTTAGCTCTTCCACCCACAAACTTCGGAAACGTAACTTGCTTTCCTACATTCAGAGCGCCCCCAACTTGCTGTAAATAGCCTGCGAAACTCGTAGATGCTGCAGCGACCTTGGCTGAGAGCTCGGCTGCAGTCGAGCCTGTAATCTTGTGCGCCGTGTCATCCAGAAAAACAGTCGTGGCAAGATTGACGGTGAATGTGTCGATGGCGTTGAGAGGGCTGGTACACATGAGATCCTTACCACCATCACACTCAGTGCGTTCAGCGAGCCATGGTTGGAGCACGGTGCGGTCAAAGCTACGAATATACTTCACTGGAGCCGATTGATGTCCCTGGAGAACACCTTGACCGATTTGATAATGTCCCATGCCATCTGCACAATCAAGAGAAACAATACAGTTATGGTTACAATGTTGGCCAAAGAACAGATCATCAGGGTTCATGTGAATGGCGCCAGTGTCATCAAAAACATCAGTGTTGAGGCTGCCGAAGGCGTTCGTCTGGTCGTAGAAGATCGTGCAATGTGATTTTTGTAGCCGTTGGAGTCGCCAGGCAGCGATAAGTTGAATCTTGAAGGCACTCTCCCGTCGACGATGGCGAAGGCCTCCATGAAGGTAGTCAGCATATTGTCGTTCAGGATGGCATTCATCAGCACGATGTCCAAGATGTTTAGAATAAGCCTTGCTAAAAGGGCACGTCCGATGCACCAGCCTGAGTGATTTAAGCCCAGTAGCAGTGGTTGGTTTGGGTATGCAGCAGCCCCAGGAGCGATGCCAATCGAGAGGGAGGTGCGCGCTGCCACGCACATCCCACAGAATGCCTCGTACCCGTCGCGTGAGCCAGTTCATGGTAGGGAGAGACGCCTCAAACTGATCACGTTGGTCTTCACTAAAATTCTGATGGTTACGATGAGTGGGGAGTAAGATCATACGAAACACTTCCAGCGGCAAACTCCATGGTGGGGTACTCTTGCGATATTGCATAGTAATAAGAGCACGTCTGATGCCGCGGAGGTCGGTCTCAGCGTCGTCTTTGAAGCCGGGTGAGTAGAACCGATAACCTGTGCCAGCATCATGTCGAGCCTCAGGGAGCCGAGAAACATCCACCACAGTAGCGCTCTGTCCGCCACAGTGTCCTGCTTGCCCTAAGAAATCACCCCACATCGCACATGTAGGTCGGTGACTGACTGGGTTGTTGAAGAAACGTCGTCCAGGGCCGACTGTAGTGCAAGCGAGTCGTCGACATAAACGGTACACCAGGGACCAGCGATGCTCCTTCCACGCATCATAAATCTGAGCCGCCAAAGACTCGACGCGATGATGACGATGTTGGTCCCGTTTAGCTTTGATTTCTTTGGTGACGGCGAATAGTCTCTGCTGAAGACGACTGAGCTCCGAGAAAACTTCAGGAACAGCAATGATGGGGGCAGCCGACGTGAGCTCAGCAAGCTGGGCACGAAGTTGGAAGCGTTGTTTTAGTAGCGTTCTTTGCTCATCACGTGCAGCAGCATAGACAGCATCAGGTTCAGTGTAACGTGCAAAATAGCCCAGGGCGATTTTACGAATATCCAAGACAAATTGCTCCCATGCTCGATCTGGTACTGCTTGGGCCGGAGGAGGAGGAGGAGGAGGAGGAGCCGCGCAGGACTGCGGCAAAACGTCGAGCCCCACGAGGCAAGACCGCGCTGGGCCTGGACTCCACGCCGCGCGCCGCTGCTGAGCCAAGGGCTCGTACCAGGACGGCCTGGAGCTGGAGAGAGCCCCGGGCGGCGTAAGGGCGATCCTCTTGAGCAGGGACCGACCGCTTTGGCATTCCTAGAGTCCTACCACGACATGTTCTTAGAACCCACATATGTTCTAAGAACAGAAGCAATGACATTATAACATAAACCCGATGTGATAAAACAAAGCAATATCAACAAGAAATGTTCTAAGAACATTTCTTGGAAACCACAAAAGGTTCTTAGAACTTTTTTGGGGTAGGGCTATAGGCGAGCCAGGACGCTTCGCCACTGCTTGAGCCTCGAGCGTCAGCGAGCTCGTGCCAAGCTTTCGGGCCTGCATCGATAGTGGGACCCTCTCCAAAGACAAGCACGCTTCCACACGGTGGCACACATCGTCCGCCCACGAGCCCTTCCGGACTCGGCGCCTGTCGACGTCGCAGCCTGGCGACCGCAGGGCGGCGCGATGTCCAGGGCAGCGCGGCCGGCGAAGGGCAGGGCAGCCGAGGCTGCGGAGAGCACCGAGGACGAATCGGGCAGTGGCGCTGCGAGGAGCCGATCAGACGAGCTGCAGCATCTCACGGCCGTGGCACGGCAAGCGGGAGGGGGTCGCTCGTTTCTGCTCGTGCTCGCTTCTAACTGTGTTCGCTTCTACTTGTTCCTGGCCCCCTACTGGCCAGGAAGAGGCCCAGGACAGAACAGTTAGCAATGAAAGGATCTTGGACCCCCCAAAAAACCAGAGAATTTTCGAATACTAAAAAATGAACGTTGGTCCATGCACGGCAGCACGGTACGAACACGCAAGCTGTACTGGGTGATCTCCTCAGCCAGATGAAGCCCGAGGCTCTGAACAAGCTGTACGCGCTCCTGGAATTGAACCAATGGCTCAGCCCACGTCCAATCACGGCCACCGTGCCCGTTAGTCTGAGATACTTTCCGCACCTTCAGACTCTCAACTCCAAGCTGAGTAATCTGAGGGCCCGCATCTCTTTCCTAAACTCGTGGGGGGCATGGTGCCGAACAGCACGATGACAGTGTTGGAGATGTTCCGATCGAGTCCCAGCACTGTGCCCACCAAGGCCCCAACGCGTAGTGGATCCCCAACCTCTCGACGATGTCGCCGCTCACGAGGCCCACGTCGTCGGCGAAAACCCCCAGCGTGTTATTAGGAGGTGGTAGCCGTGCAGCGTTCATGCGGATCACGGGGTCGATACACAGTACAAGCAGGCCGACTGAAAGAGGGACGCCCTCTTTGATCCCATGGGCGCAGAGGAACCAACCCCCCGCGCTGCTTCTCTTACGCACTTCATTCCGCACGTCCGTGTACAACCTCCCTCTTCCCTTTCATAACATGACAGTGAGGGTTCAAAAGATGGCCGCGTGCAGTGAATTATGGAAATGCGGCTCGCACGTCGATCAGTCCGAGGCCTGTCTGGGGGATGGCTTTTTGCACCATCCAACATCCGATTCAAAGCCTTGGATTCCAAGCTTGTGACGTCAATTTGCATGTTGCGTATGGGCACAAACCCTGTTACCGAAGGGATGATCTCACATAACAAACGTAGGAAAACGGCATATCTGAGCTTAGAGCGACAGCGTTGTCAGATATGTTCGACAGCATAAATGGCCGAGTCTCAAGGTAGCACAGTAGTGCAGTAGTGGCGTCTCTGAGGTGAGCACCCGTTGGAAACTTGATCGCAGCTCAGCTCCCCAGCTGAACCGTGCAGGGGCAAAACCACAATATTGTCCGTGATCCTACAGTAGTTTCGATAGAGGACCCGTAGGGCTGTTTCGCCAGCCAGGCGCCAGGCGGAGTACGAGGACGACGTCGCGCTCAGGCGCGGAGCCAATCTTATGACCAAGAACGTATGCCGACGAACTCTGGATAGCACAGCGTCCATTCCGGCACCGGCGGCACTGCAACAACGTGGGGTTTGAGCTGATCACGCGTGTCGTTCGGAGGAGGAGGAGGAGGAGCAGGCGGAGGAGGAGGAGACAGATGAGAAAGAGGAAGAGAGTGAGGAATGAGTGCTCTGGCATCTGGCCCCCCTGGTCCTCTTCAGGTCGCGCTGGGCGTCGAAAAGAGGGCCCTTCACGACCTTCGCCAATCTTCTTCATCGCTAGCCCTTTCCTCGTCGTCCTTCCTCATCGTCATCCAACTCCTCCTCCTCCTCCTCCTCCTCCTCAACTTCCTCCTCTCCTCATCCTCCCAACCCTCCTCCCTCCCCCTCAAGCGTTGTGGTCCGAGGCGTCCCTTTCGGTACAGCCCGACAGCCACGACCCCAGCCCGCGCTTGTCTGCGCGCGCGATAGCTTCCGTGCCTGAGTGGGCTCCAGTACGGTGCAGGCTGGAGTCCGTGCAGGCTGGAGCCCGTGGACCTGGGGCGCGGAGGCCGACCCCGACATCAACCGTGGTGGCGGCGTCTGTCACTGGGGGTCGTGAGGGTGCAGAGCAGTTGTCACTCAAAGTTGCGTTCACGATCGCCTGCCTGGCATCGACGCCTCCGTCGGAACCGCTGCCGGGCGACGCGTCTTCTTGGGCGTGAGCGGCCCGAACGGCTGCGACGATTGCACCGCGGCCCAAGGCCCCCCAACGTCGAGCGGGAAAGGGAGGGCAAGACTGGCCATCGCTCAGACGTCCATTCCCTGTGTTTTGTTCGGTTTCGTGAGTGTTTTTTTCGCCAGATGGTCGAGGATGCTCCTCGAAGGTCCTCGCCGAGAAAGAAAATGCACACGTCCGAGCGATGCCAAGAAGAGGACGCGGGAATCATGGCGGCGGCAGTGAGTGTACATTTTTTAGTTGCAGCTCTGGAAGCAGACCGATCTCAGGCGTCCAGATACTGAAGACTAGCGTTCCTGATGATTTCCTGCCGATAGGCGGGCATCCCAGCTCCATCGCTCGCCTGAAGCTCGAATTGAGCGGAGAAGACAAACCTCGATCTCTCGGGGGCGTGCTGCTGCTCGTCAGTGTGGCTGCCCACGCAGCTCTGCGCGCAGCGAGTGGTGCTGCACGTGCGGCGGAGACACTAGGGCTCCCAACTTCGCGCTTCGCGCTGCGCGCTGCGCGAAGCGCGAATAACTTCGCGCTCTCGCGCCGCCCCCCCAGAGGGAGAATAGGAGGACGAGGAGGAGGGGGAGAAGGAACGAGGACCGCGAAGCGCGAAGCGCGAATAACTTCGCGCCCTCGTGGGAGCCCTTGCGCCGCGCGTGCCGGGCCAGGGGCGCGCTCCAGCTCGGCTGCAGAGAGGCCCGCGCGCGGTGGCAGCACCCCAAGGAGGCAGCAGAGGACGTGGCGTTGAAGACGGCGGACTGCCCACAAGACCACCCCAATCCGACCCGAAGACCCGAATTTCGGGTTGGGGTGGGGTAAGGGTTCCACTAGAAATGGATGGCAAATCGGGGCCTTGGGGTTGGGTTGGGGTGGGTTGGCGGGTGGTGAGCGGCGTGGATGAGGTGGCCCGTGCAAGGAGGCCGCTCGGAGCGCTGTGTCGACTCGGATATGAAGACAGAAATGCACGCATCGAGGTCGCAAAGGCTGCAGCTCTCGGAAACGGACCGGGCTGATCGTGCCAGCCGTCAGCCCATTGGTCTGCTTCGGCGGGCGCTCGACCGACACAGCACCAAGTCCAAGGAAATCAACATCCTACGAGACAAAACATCTGAGTTGGAAGCAGAACTTGTTACCGAGCAGGGTGAGCTTACGCAAGCCCAGTTCGAGCTGGACGGAATCGACGTGGAAATGACAGCAGCAAGGGCAGCACTCATGGTCATAAGCGATCCAGGCTCTGCTCATGATCAAGATACAGCCCACCCGTATCATAAGGATGCGCGGTGAGGATGCAAGGGCCTTGGCGGGCCCTGTAATCGTTTTTCGAACGAGGTTGGCCAGCGAAAGTCGCTAAGGATGGGCCGAAGGAGCAAAGATGCAAGGGTACCCTTGGGAAGGTTGCCCATCCTTGCTATGCGGGTTGGCTGTATTGTAAATGATGTGGGTCATCCGCAGGAGCTCGTCGCGGGGGCACCGTCAGACTTCCAGGCCGGCAACCAGCGCGTCCTATTGGCATCCTTATCGCAGCAGCTTTGTGAACTATAGGCGGCCACGCTGGCCTGGCGTGCGCCAGCGGCAAATCCAACCTGGCCAACCCACTCCTGGGCCGGTTGATCATCCGTGGGGCTCTCAGTTGAACTCCTGACCAAACCCGAGGAGGGTTAGCACGCTCGATACCATTACTATGACTCGTCTGCGAGTTGGAGGGATCCAGCCTTGTCAGCCCCCCGAGATGGCACCCGCTCTGCCTACGCAAGCTTCTCTTGGTGGAGGTGGTATCGTGACACCCTCAATTCCCTCGGCAATTTCCAGGGGGCCATCAGGGACGTCGGCTACACCCGTGACCACCTATACTTCGGCTTCGACGTCAAGTCCGAGCGCCGTGCCAGGATGGGTTGCTACGTGTACTTCAGCGCCGTTGTCGCTTCCTCAGATGCCGCCGCCGTTCGCGGGCCCGTCGCCCAGAGTGGAGGTCAACCGAGAGAAGGCAGCGTCTCATCGCGCATGGCGGCGGGGGGCTAAGTCTCGTCGGCAAGGACTTCAGATTGCTTCTTCCAATGGATCAGGCGGGTCACAGATTCAATATTATCTGGATCAGTAACGTCAGTTGTGGTCATAACCCGAGGACATCACCTTCGTGGCAGGCATCTCGTCATGGCAGAAGAATGAAGGGTGAAAGCCTTTCTGAACACCAGCTATCCCAGGAGACGCTGGCTGAATGAGCGCAGGTGCCGGGATCTCGTCAGGTCGCACATCGGCGCCACGCACCTTGAGGACTGCCTTGCTGATCACAAGCTGACCCGAGGTTGCGCCGCAGCTGTCTTCGTTCAATGTGGTATGCGACAGGGCTTCCTGGCGGTGAGCCTGTGCCTTGAACAGGGTCAGGAACTTGGAGGACGAATCACGGCCAGAATCAAAACGGTTAAAAAGGTTGGGCAATGTCTATCTTTCTATCAGGTGCCCTTCAACATCGGAGCGGACTGGAATCTCAGCCCAGATGTGGTCGAACAATGCGGACTGGCGGAGCGGCTACCTGCGAGGCTCATTGCAACGCAGGACAGAACCTACAGGGACCCGATGACGACAAATTTGACCAAGCTCGACTGTCAGATGACCAGTGGCTCAATTGCAGCAGTTACCTCGGACGTTCGTATTTCACCTGGCTTTCCTGACATGAATCATTGTCTAGATCAGTGTGTTAGTGGACCCAGGGCGCGGACTGAGCACTTGATGAAACTCGATGGCCCAAAAGTAACTCCAATCAGCCCGCAGGCGGAGAAGTTTGAACGCGAGGCTGATGATGATGGCAAGCACGAATATGACACGCCCAGAGGAGATCCGGGACATGACTGGATGGGGATCACGCGGGGTGATGCAGCACCTGGATTTGGGCAACCTGAGCTGTACGAAGAGCGACTTGACGGTTTGTGTCAACACACCTACGATGCGGTGAAGCGGGAGTCCATGGCCTTCTTTACAGTTGAGGAGTCCATGGCCTTCTTTACAGTTCTTGGGCTTTAGCTGCCCCGATACGCAGAGCGCAACACGTAGCGTATTGATACGGCGCTCAACACGCAGACTGAACACGTACGTTTTGAACACGGACGTTTTGAACACGGCACGTTTTACGTGTCAAAACGTGCGTATCAGAGCAGCCGAGATCTCGGGGGATCGCAGGGCCCACGATATCGCCACTCGACCGCAGGAGGTGCTCTTGAACGTCAACGCCCAGCAAGCGCAGCAAACAGTCGAGCCTGTCGAACCGTCCAGCATATCGAGTTCATGATGTTCAAAGCGCGCAGGAAGAGCTCCGTTCAGAACTTGCCTCTGTAGGGGTCCTAGCGGATTAAAGGGTTAGGTGAGGTGCGTCGCCGATTTCGGTGGCCGGGCCCAGGTGCCCAGGTGCCCGGGTGCCCGGCGGTGCCCGGGTGCCCGGGTGGCCGGTGCACCGATTTCGGTGGCCGGGCCTGGGTGCCCGGGTGCCCGGGTGCCTGGGGGTGCCCGGGTGCCCAGGGGTGCCCAATAGCCCAATAGCCCAGTAGCCCTATAGCCCTGTAGCCCTATAGCCCTGTAGCCATATAGCCATATAGCCCTATAGCCCTGTACCCCTATAGCCTTATATCCCTATAACCCCATAGCCCATAGAGCTCTGTAGACCCACAACCCTATAGCCCTATGGCCCTATAGGTCACAATCCTATAGCCCGATAGCCCTATAGCCCTGTAGCCCGATAGCCCTATAGCCCGCCCTATAGCCCGCCCTATAGCCCGATTACAAAGGGAGCAATTGGAATATTCAAAAAAATGATTGGGGCTTTTCTCCGGCATCATGATGTTCAAAACGCGCAGGAAGGGCCCCGTTCAGAATAATATCGCTTGGAGGCGTCTGCTCGACTTCGTCGGTGGAAAGGGGGTCGCGACGGACGCCTACGCCAAAGCATGCCGCATCGTGTCGTTAGTGATATCGCACATACCGTATACAGTGTGTGCGAACAACCATGGGAATATCATGTGTGCATGCTTCGGTTCGTCGGGTGCGCCTGCGGTGAGGTGGCTCAGAAAGAAGAGAGGCGCCTTGCTGCTGCACGCTCGCTCTCTTTTGCCAGATGGCTGCGACAGCGTCGGTCGAATTCCCCTGGGCTGGTTCGCAACTGGACTACAGTCGGCCCGTGCCATAAGGATGCGTGATAAGGATGCAAGGGCCTTGGGCGCCCTTTTTCCGAAGCTTTTCGAGCGGGGAGCGGCCAACGAAATGGCCGAGGGTGGACCGAGGAGGCAAGGCTGCAAGGGCACCCTGTTGAGTATCTTTTAACCGATCCCCATCCCCCGCGGCGTGGCCTGGGCCCCACCGGCCTGGGCCCCACTGGCCTGGGGGTGTAGATCGTTCCCTTCGGGCTCCGAAGGGTGTACCCCGAGCTGGGGGGGTAATTTGGCGGGGGTCTCGAAGGGGATGGGACGGGGAAGGGGATCGGTTACACGATGCCGACCTGTGGAAATTTGCCCCTCCTTCTTGCGCGGGTTGGCCGTGGGCCCCGGGGCCGGCACCCAACCCGAGCTTCCGCGCGAGGGGGGCCCTCCGGTCTTCGAGGGCACGCAATCGAAGCGCAGAGGGGATCCTGGGGACATGGTTCGGTTGGGCTCTCCACGGAAGCAAAGTGCGCGACCTCGGCAGCCGGGGGGGTGCGCCTCTGATGAGCGGCGCAGCCCGCTGGGGACATGGAGGCCCAGGGAGGCCCACACGTCCCCAGGAGCCCCCTCGCGATCGAGGCCTGGCGTCCCGCGCGAGCGAAGCCCAAAGGAAACCTCGATGGGGGCCTATGCATGCCCGAGGCGGCCTGCATGCTGATCTTCGGGGCGGGGAGCGACTGCAGGACCTCAGGGGCCTCCTCTCCAAAGCCCCCCCCAAGTTCCCTCCACCTATCATTGGGGAGCTCGGACGGGCAGCCGGCATGCTTCCCAGGCGCACCGCCGCGGGGCCTGACCAGTTCAGACCGCGCCACTGGATCGCGGCATCGAATGGGGCGCTACCGGTGCTTGGATCTTTCTTTTTCCTGCACGAGACTTTCGGCGCCTGGCCTTTGAAGATTCGTCGGGCACATATTGCCTTACTCTCCAGGCCCAGTGTGGGGTGCATGCCATGGCGCTACTACCTTCTATATATAAATGCATATATCATATAGTGTTTGGGCCACAGCAAAGGTAAGGAATGTTCAGTTGTGGGCACGCAAATTGCAGCGACTCTACCTAGCGCCTGGAGCACAAAAGTCGACCACCGACGTCACCGCCAGAGTTCTTGTGCAGTCTTAGGCCGCGTTCAACGACGGGCCGGAGGCGGCTGTCTCTGTGCGCGCCGTCGTAGATGTCGAGAAATGATGTGATAAGGTTCACTAGGAGTTGCTCATCGGAACGGGGGTAGTACACTACTTTCCAAAACAGGTTATGGCACTGGCCATTCGCATGTACATGAATGCACAGAGAGTTTCCTGGGGTCACTGTCTGTCCGAACCTGTATGGGCCACGAGGGGTGCGTTGCCAGGATGTACGCTCGCCATGTTCTGCCTGCAGTGCGTCATGCTGTCTCCGTTCGACTCGCTGTATTGGCACACCTCCTAAATACCTCGTAGTATAGATCTGTATGATGATGATATCTCAACTGCGATTGTTAGTACATGCCGAGCGATTGTGCGCGCACCGTGCAGCATTTTTCGCTTAGTTACACACGTCCTGGATCAGCTCGAACTGCCAGCAGCGAGTCACAAGATGAAGGCGACAAGTCGCCCAGCATCCGTTGGCAAGAGATCGTGGGCAAAGCTCAACAGACTGGGCTACTCTTATTCCAGTGCGTGAGAAGTTCTAAGGATAAACATCGCCTCAGGACATGCCTTGGTCCAGAGGTCGGCTCACTGGTTTGCAAGTGTGTCAAGCAGGCGTTGCCCCCTGTTAGGAATGATGCCGCCGGCATCCACGGTGCCCCCCGCAGCTCGTCGGGGTTATGAGGGGCGCCACGCTAGATAACCGACTTGCTCAAGGAGCTTGCACGTCGACTTGGATGGGCTCTTGTCTTCCAGCCCGTATGTTATCATATCGTCTGGTTGAAGCCTGGGTGGCGCCCGTCTATCAGTGGGCGCTGGGTGTCCGAGACTCGGCTGCGTCGCATGATACCGCGTAGATGGCACGGGAAAGACATATCCAGCGGGTGTACTTAGATGATAGAGCTTGGCGAAAGATCAATGGTACGACAGGGGCACTGTTGCTATCTTTCAAGAGTTTGCAATGGAGTTCGGCCTCGACCTTCTCGCTTCGCACTGATAAAGGCGCTTCACTAAATCTCCGCACGGATGCCCCCTTCAACCGTCAAGGTGCTAGCCAGGGTCTCTGCTCTTCAGCGTCTTTGGGAATCTGGGGCTCGCAGGCCAAACCCTGCCGATGACCAAGATATGGGCCTAAAAGATCCTCGGGGTTTGGGTAGAACCTATTACAGCTGCTCAGCATTGCTCATGCGCCTGAGGATGAGGCTGGTGAGGATGCTGGAGATCTCGGTAATGGCGGTATGCAGACGGATCTGGAAGATGAGGCTCAGGATTTCGAACCCCCACAACCGCCAGCCCAAGAACCGCTCTGGGCGCCCAATATCCAGAAAGCAAATGTTTTTCTAGCTATTGTTGGTGGAGGGTTTTAGACGCCAGCCAGACTCGTTCACTGCGAGTGCGCCGAATCACCAGACTGTCCGAGTTGCGGCGCGCACTGCAGCGCGCATCACCTTTCATGGCAATATCCTAGTCTCGACGCGGAGCCAAATCAGAGAACGGGAGAAGTAGATGTCAGATATGTCACTGCCCGAGCTCCTGGACAATGGGATGGGGACCACGCCTTGATTGTGCGGCCATGCTCTCCTCCAGTTCCGCCTCGTGATCACTTTAGCCGTTGGCACGTCTTGTCCTCGCCATCGGCGCTGCCGACATAGAGCCTCCCTTCGTCCCTGGCGACCCTGCCTGCCGCCTCGAACACGGCCATGTTTTCCTCCGAGGGAAAGCCCTCCGACGGGAAGGCGGCCATTCCGACCTCTTTTTTCCGCTCCGCCAAATCAAACGACAAGGCTTTCACAGAGCGTTTGTGCGTGGCGGCCTGGGCTTCCAAGTACTCCTTCATAGTCTCAGCTCTGTCACAGGCGCGGTGTGCACGGATGGAGCTCGTCGAACGGTGGGGCACCGGCCTGAGACGGCGCGCGCTGGCTGGGGCTCTGCCCCGGTCGGATCCCACGGCGTTGACCTCCTAGTTTTTATGGGGGCCCTGCCGGGCCCAGCGCAAACAGGCCTCGGGGGACCGAGCTGCATGCGTTTCCTGCAGGTCCTCCACGTTCGTCTCTCAGGAGGGGAAAAAAAACGCACAGGCACAGTTACAACCGTCGATCCCCAAGACAAAATAGGGGACAATGTGGGAAGTGGGGGGGAAGGCAAAAGCCCAGAAGGTATGGGAAGGCATGGCGAATCCTCGTGCTCGTGTCTCCTGAGCTGTGGCTCCCAGGGCCCCTGCAGTCTCGCCCCCCCCCCGTCCTCGTGCCCGCGGGCCTCCAGGGCGCGGCCACGGGGCCCGCCAGAGGACAGTGCCTGGGCCTGCGCTCTCCCAGAGGGCTCGTGCCGCGCAGCTGCGTGGGAGGCCCTCTGGACGGCGCTGGAAAAGACTGCCTCAGGCAAGGGCTCCCCGCTTCGCGCTTCGCGCGAAGCGCGAAGGACTTCGCGCTCTCGCGCCGCCCCCCCCCAAAGGGAGAAAGGGAGGACGAGGAGGAGGGGGAGAAGGAGCGAGGACCGCGAAGCGCGAATAACTTCGCGCCCTCGAGGGCGCCTTTGCACATAGCGCAGATCCGTGGGAGGCAATCTGAAATACACTAGAAGAAGCCGTCCAAGTTGCACGCAGCCAGGCCCATCATAGCTAGAAGTGCCCCCGGGCCAAGGTGCCCCCAGGATTCTCGGGGTGGCCCAGACGGCCTCCAGGGCACCCCTCACGAGGCCCAGAGGGCCCCAGGCTCTCCAAAATGGAGCGAAAAGCTGGGGGCACCTTGGCCCAGGGGCACTTCTAGCAACACCCGACTTCCCAGGCTCTCCAAAACGGAGGGCCTGGGCCCCTCTGGGCCTCGTGAGGGGTGCGCCCTGGAGGCCGCCTGGGCCACCCCGAGAATCCTGGGGGCACCTTAGGCCAGGGGTACTTCTAGCAACACCCGAAGAAGGGCACCGGACTCCATGTTCCGGGCAATCGGCGGGCGGACGTGGGTGCTGCGAGGGGGAGAGGTGTGCAGACTGTGCCAAAGGATAGTAGGGGGCCACATGCGAGCCTCACCCCTGCCCCCCAAGATTTCTGAGAGGGAGGGTGGGGTTCACTTCGCTCGGGAGCTCCCGAACGAAGTGAACCCCACCCTCCCCCTCAGAAATCGTGGGGGGTAGGGCGCCTTGCTCAGAGCAGCCGCGCTGAGAGTTTGGTGAGCCGCCCCGCCCGGCGCGGGCGCGTCCGGGAGCGGAGCTCGCCCCAGTGCATCTGTCCAAGGGCTCCTATCTTCGCGCTTCGCCCTGCGCGAAGCGCGAAGTACGCGAGTGACTTCGCGCTCTCGCGCCGCCTCCCAGGGGCGAAGGAGAGGACGAGGAGGAATCGGAGCCGAAGCGCGAAGCGCGCAGCGCGAAAAATTTCGCGCCCTCGAGGGCGCCCTTGCTGTCGTGGCCTCCCGACCCCGTGCGCGCGGGGCAAGAGCCGTAACGGAGGAGCAGCGCGGCCCCGGCGGGGCCCCTGAGGCGTCTTCTGCTTCGGGGGCGGCCCGCGTCGCGCGGAGTGCTCACCGAGGGGGCCTGCACGCGGAGGCTCCTTCGGGGGAGCAGCCTCGTTCGGTTCGACCTCGCATTGAGTCTGCTCCCGTGCCGGAAGCTCGAGCGCCCGGCGCCGATACTCCCGACCGTGCGGCTCGCAGTGTGCAGCGCGCGCCTCTCGAAGGCCCTGCCTTTTCCCCGTCCTGTGGACCTGGTAGCAAGCGCCGAAGGCGTGATGCGCCCAGCATGGGCGCCGGTCTCTCTCTCTCTCTCTCTCTCGAGCCACCGTCCCGTCTCAGCCCTTCCCCGGACGGGATCGTTGGGGCCCGGGGCGGCCCGAGGACACAGGTGCGGGGCGTCTCTCGGGCCAGGTAGTCTCACGCATCAGGTGCTGGCCTTCCTCCACTGCCTTCCTTCCTCACTGCCTCCTCCTCCGCCTCCTCCTCCTCCTCCTCCTCCTCCTCCTCCTCCTCCTCCCCTCCTCCTCCTCCTCCTCCTGAGGAGCTGCGGGCCATCTGCTGCCAGGCCACGCCGCGCCCGGGCGCGAGCGAGAGCCCGCGCGGGCCATGCGCCACAGAGGGCGTCCTGTCTCGCGGGGAGCGGGCGCCCTGGCGGACGACGGCCGGCCCACCGAGCGCGGGGCTCCCGCCCCCCAGCCCAACGGCTGACTGCCTACCAGACCACTAACCCGAAGATCCGAATTTCGGGTTGGGGGGGGGGGCGGGGGTGGACGTCGTGTGTGTTTCTTCTCTGTGTTCCCCAGCTCCCCCCCCCCACCCCCACTGGAAATGGTGGGCAAATCGGGGCCTTCGGGTTGGGTTGGGGTGGGTTGGTGGGTGGTGAATAGCTGCCTCTGGCCCCGAGGTCTCGTGGCTCAGGTCTGGGTGGAGGGGCCAAGAGACACACGAAGAAGCACGCGCACCCCCCAGGATTTTCCCGGTGTTTTTGCGCATCTTCTGGACTCTCGTCTTCCCCCCCACTTCCCATACGTCCCCACACTTCTTCCAGGGGATCGACGATGAGTTGCGTCTGTGTGTTTTCCCGTCCTGACAGGGGCCATGGGCTTCGGGGCGCCACGCTCGCCCGGGCCGGCGGCCGCTGGCGGGCCCGCCACCGCTGCACTGCCGCCCGCTCCCGCCGAAGGCGCGGGCGCGGCGAAGGCGGGGCCCCTCTCGAGGGTTGCTGAGGCCCCCCGTCACCTCCTCCCTGCGTGAAAAACTACGACGGGAGGTCTTCGGCCATTTTCGCCCCCCCGGGGCCCTCGCCGGGCCCCGGGGCCGTCAAAAAGATGCGCACTCGGGATGGGAAGCCGCTCCTCGGGACGGGCTTCGAAGCGCCAGACTCTGCATCCGACGAGCTCGGGCGCTCGGACCCCCTCTTGGATGCGCCGGGCCCGGATCTGGGGCAAGCTCGACTTCCAGGTCTCCCCCGAGGGCGGAGGCGCGGCCCTCCCCCGAAGGGCCGACGCGGGGCTCTCCCCGGGGCCCCCCGGGGGGGCCGACGCCTCCGAGAGGGGGCACTCCGAGAGGGGGCCCTCCGGGAGCAGCGCCCGCCGAGAGGGGCGCCCTCCGAGCGGCGGCCCGCCGAAGCGCGCTCCGCGCGCGCATGCGCGCGCCCCGCCGCTCCCGCACGCGGCCCACACCACGGACCGCCGCAGCCTGCCGCCGAAGCACGCCGCGGGGGAGGCCGTGAAATCCTTGTGGAGGACGGGGCTCCTCCCAGCTGGCGGCCATGCCGCAGGAGTGTCTGGGATATCAGACACGGCGATTCGAGAACTTCGGACGCTCGCTGGAGGCATGTGCGGGGCCAAGCCCAAGGCGTCGCTCACCTTGTTTTTAGCAACGCAGCGAGACGACAGGTTCGACCCTATTTTTGATGCGACGGTTCCTCTGGTGGTTAGGTTTGCTTCGTTCATCTGGGACAATAGGGTCGCGCCTGGACGGCTCCGTAGAGCTTGGGATGCGGTCAAGGCCAAGCTCGACCATCGCACCTCGTAGACCAGAGCTCGTGGCCCCATCGCCTCTGTTTGGGTCACGCTTCTGCGTGTGGGTTGGACGATGTTTTCTCCAACAGTGCTTGTGGACGATCGAGGTCGCCACGTCGATTTAGTTAGGAATTGTCCAGGTGATGTGAAAGCTTTCTTGGAGGAAAGCCTTCGCCGCTGGCAGGTAGATAGGATCCTTCAGCACCTTCCCAACAGCCTTGGAGAGAGCTGCTGGAGGAGGGGAATGCGGAAAGCAGTTCTTGCAGTGAGAGATGTTGCGAGGCGAGGCGCCTTGCGAACGCTTTGGTCGTCCGGAGTTTGGACCCCCGAGCGGTTGCGCAGCATTGGCCTTCGCAGTTCCCCGCGGTGTTTCGTGCGCAAGCAGGCGATTGGCAACGAGCCCCATCAATGGTTTGAGTGCGAAGCCATGTTAGATGGGTTGGACGTGCCAGTTCCCGATTGTGTCCTCGAGCTTAGGACGGCCATCAAGGCCAAGAATAATTCGCAGTCTGGAGCGGATCAATGTTATCTCAGTTTCGGTTTGCCGCCCGAGCCACCAGCGCTGTCGCCCCCGAGCGACGTGCACCCTGTGATGGGATGGGGGGACTGGCGTGGGCGATGGGGGCGGAGGGTGTTCACGGACGGAAGCGGCCAAGCGTCGTCGATCCCAGAGCTGACCCGCTGCGGCTGGTCAGTGGTAGAAGTCGACGATGCGGGCAACGTTTTGCGTGCAATTTTTGGCGCGCTCCCAGGAGCGGTACAGACGGCGCCGCGTGCGGAGCACTACGCAGCGCTCAAAGCAGTTGAAGTTGCGCAGCAGCCAGCGATTGCAGTGTCAGATCACCTGAATCTGGTGCGAGAGGGGTGTGCTTGGTCGGAGACAACTGCCTCCTCTTGTGGCCGTCACGCTGCGGTGTGGGAAAAATACGTCGGCTCTGTTCAGAGGCTCCTCCTACCTTCGAGTGGGTCCCTGCCCACAGAGAGCTCTCGGAGGTCTTGGAGGCCCCTGACTGCGATTTTGTCCGTTTCGTTGCTAACGAGTGGGCTGACTTCTTCGCCGAGCGTGGGGCCCAGGTGCACTCTACTGGCCAGACCATGCAGGGCTATTATAAGCAAGCCATGAAGGCGGCCAAAGACCATTCCCGTGTATTTGCATGGATGGCCCAAGCAGCCGCCAAAAAGAAGGTGGAGCTCCAGCCAAGGGAAGTTGTGCCGTCTCAGGTCTGCCGTGACGTCGCCACCCCCTTGGTTGTGCTAGACTCGCATGAGTTTCGATTTTGCGAGAGGCTGTCTGAATACAGGTGCCTGAATTGCAACAGGTTCGCGAGGACTTCCGACTCCTTGAAGGCCCTTCGAGCGAGGCGATGCGAGCCCACGGATCTCCTGCGAGCGATGGCGACGCGTTATTTCGCCCTCACCCCCGAATGCTATCGGCACGCCTCACGTGCGGTGGACGCCGCCGTGCGCGCTGCTGGCCTTGATGAAGGCCTAGGGCCCCCTGGAGGCCCACATGTGGGAGGTGGAGTGGGGGCTGACGTCGTCGCCGTCGGGGTCGATCGGGAGGTGGAATTGTACTCGGAACTTGGCCACGGTGTGGAGCGTTTCGGCTCCACGGTCATCTGCCTTTGTTGTGGGGCGTTCAGTGTGGCTGGAGGCCGCAACCGCAAGCTGCGTGCCCAGTGCAGGGGGCATTCGGACGTAGCTTCCACGCGCGCGAACGAGGAGATGCAGATCTCTCGTGCGTTGCGCGGGCTGCACCCCAGGTCGGGGGACCCTTGCCCATGATGACCTCGACGCCAGGTCTCCTCCGTCGGCCTTCCGACGCGGCGGGGACGGCGCTGTCGAGGACTAGCGGCACGGTGCGATGGCTCGTGGCCTCGCCGTGCTGCTCCCAACTTCCTTCCCGCTGAAGCGGGTCCGTACGCTCGGACTCGCTCTTCATCGCTCGCTGCCTCCTCCTCCTCCTCCTCCTCCTCCTCCTCCTCCTCCTCCCTCCTCCTCCTCCCTCCTCCTCCTCCTCCTCCTCCCTCCTCCTCCCTCCTCCTCCCTCCCTCCTCCCCTCCTCTCCCTCCCTCCTTCCTCCCTCCCACTCCCTCCCTCCCTTCCCTGCCCTCCTCCCTCGCCTGCCTCCCTCCTCCCTCTCCCTCCTCCTCCCTCCTCCTCCCTCCTCTCTCGTCCCTCTCTCCCTCTCCTCCCTCTTCCTCCCTCTCCTCCGCGCTCCTCCTCCTCCTCCTCCTCCTCCTCCTCCTCCTCCTCCTCCTCCTCCTCCTCCTCCTCCTCCTCACTCCTCCCTCCTCCCTCCTCCTCCTCCTCCTCCCCTCCTCCTCCTCCTCCTCCCTCCCTCCTCCCTCCTCCTCAAAATAATCCTCCTCCCATCCCTCTCCTCCCACTCCTCCATAATCCCTCCTCCATCACTCCCTCCTCGCCTCCTCCCTCCTCCCTCCTCCCTCATCGCGCTTCCTACCTCATGCCATCCTACCTCCTCCCTCCTCACCTCCTCCCTCCTCCCTCCTCCCTCCTCCCTCCTCCCGCCTCCTCCCTCCTCCGCGTCCTCCCTCCTCCTACCTCCTCCTCCTCCTCCTCCTCATCCTCCTCCTCCTCCTCCTCCTTCACTCCTACCTCCTCCTCCTCTCCTCCTCCTCCCTCCTCCTCCCTACTCCTCCCTCCTCCTTCCCTCTCCTCCCTCTCCTAACCCATCCTCCTCCTTCCTCCTCCTCCCCATCTTCCTCTGTCCTCTTCCTCCTCCTCCTCCTCCTCCTCCTCCTCCTCCTCCCTCCCTCCCTCCCTCCTCCCTCCATCCCGTCTCCCTCCCTCCCTCCCTCCCTCCCTTCCTCCCTTCCTCCCTCCCTCCCTCCTCCCTCCTCCTCTCTGAGCACTCGAGGGGGCGACGCCGGGCAGCGAACGAGAGCGCGGTGGCGAGCTGGAGGGGCGCAAGGGGGCCGGGCCGGGCCGGGAAGCAGCCCGGCGGGGGGGCGCGCAGGACGAGGCGCGCGCGGAGGTGAGCGCGAAGAGACGCGCCGTCCGAGCGGGCGCGCCACGCGCCGCGCCTCCGAGGAGCGGCGCGGCGAGGAGGCGGTGCACAAGACAGGGCGCGCTGGGTGGCGGAGAGTGGACGTCAGAGCGAAGCGGAGAAGAGGCATGTTTTTGTTGGTCGGTGCGATCGCGGGCAGCGCGATCGCGAAGAGCACTCGCGAGAGGAAACCACTTCAGCGAGCGCTTCTTCGGCCGGGGCGGATCGCCATTAGTTTCGATGGCGTCTCCTGGCCCACTCCGTGGCGGCAAAGAAAAGTGCGAGGTCCGAAAGGCGAACGTCTGGGCGCGGGCGCCGGCAATCGTGACCATGGACATGGGCGTAGACGAAGGTGGAAGCGAGATCTCCACTGCGAGGACATCCAAGATGCCATGCGCCACGCGGTCCCCGAGGCTGCGACTCGTTGCGTGGGCCGCGCGCGCACCCGCCCGCAACGGAGAAGCGGCGCCTCCATCGCGGGGCAGACCGCTGCGAGCACCAGGTGGCGGGGCGTCGCGAGCCCAAGGGGCCGCCAGTTCGGCCGCAGTCCCATGCCTCGCGAGGACGGGGGCTCACGCTTGGCACGCGGACGGAAGCGCTCGCATCGAAGTGCTCGCGGGTGGCTTGCGCCGGAAGGGCTGGGCACCAGAGGAGGGCAACAACAATTCTACTCGGCTGACCTGGCATGTGCAATCCGCCGCGTGGCAGCGCCGCGTCCGAACGCATGCGAATGGACCCCGTCTTTCGCGTGGCACCGCAAAAGGACGGACAAATGAGAAGGCGCCAAAAATGGACTGGAACATGGGAAACGAAAACGACGTACTTTGAGCGACTGGCGTGTAATGAGGAACGACGTCATGTTGCAACACGTTAGAGCTGGTAGTGTGTCGGGGCAATGGCTGCGCGCGACACCGCCTGCGGCAACAACGCGCCGACGCATCGTGTGCGCCGGGAAAGAGAACGTCGGCCGGAATTGTGCTGGGGTCTCCCTCCTGCGCGTAGTAACATCGCGAAGGGAAGCAAAAGTGGCAGTGGCAGCGCAAGGGATCGACAAGCACAGCGACCAGACGCTACACGTCACACGGCCATGCGGGGAACAAGAGACAAATCCACTGCTGGTCGTCGCGCTGCATCGCAAGGGGCGACTCTCTCAACAGATCAGCGCTGACCTTGCGGTCGCGCGGGGGCGAGATTGTAGCTGCACTGCAACGGGAGCGGCGCCGTGCAACGAAGCGCGTGCCATTGGGGCCTGCCTTCGTCCCGCGGCGGGCGCCACTCTGCTGCTTATGATTCCTTTTCCTCGCCCTCCACCTCCCGATCCTCCTTCTCCTTTTCCTCCTTACCTCCTCCCCCATCCTCCTCTTCCTCCTCATCGCCCATCCTGTATTGGTGCTGTCCCCCCAGCACATTTACAAAGGGATGCGGAAGCAAGAAACGTGGCATGGGACGTATTTGTGTTCATGTCTTCCCCCGGTCCCTCGACAGTGGAATCCAGGAGCGGGGCACACAACGTCGGCCATATTTGCATGCATGTCTCCACCTTGCCCTTTTTTACTACGGAGTTCAAGAGCTGGAAACACAACATGGGCCATGTTTGTGTTCATGTCCCCCCCCGGCCCCTTGACAACGGAAGACAGGAGCGGGACACAGAACGTCGGCCACATTTGTGTTGGTGTCTCCCCTTATCTCCGTTACTATGGAATCACGCTCCAAGATTTACCGCTCGCGCCTGTCAGAACTTTCGGGATTCAAGCTGTCAAAATTCGAACTCTCCAAGGTTTCAGGCTTTGGGACGGTACGTTTCGAAAGTTTGAACAAATCCTCCAAGTTGAAATATTCGATTGTACGCAAAGTGATTTGTTTCGAGTTTGTAACATGTTTTGGCATTGAGAACATTGAAATTCGCCTGCAGTACATTACAATTACAAGCTCACAAAATGCCAAACTTCTGAATTTCGTACCCGTCACAACATCAATCTTTCAAACTTTTTTAACCTCGAGCCCCGAGGATCCAACATCCACCCAACCTGCCATGTGGAAGCCCCCAGCTCTAGCGACCTCCGACCTGCGATCTACGACGTCGTCGTCGTCGACGCCGCCGACGAAGACGGCCGCGGCGAGGGCGGCGAACGATCCTCCTCGGCCTCGTCCAGCCCCCCGATGATCTCCGGCAGCGCCTGTGTGGACGGAGGGAGGCAGCACGAGGAAGGCGCCATGCGTCGGGCCGGCGTTCGCCAGACCCGCCCGCCCCCCCCCCACACAGAGACCCCCTGCATAAGGGGCTCAAGGGAAAATGTGTCGGTTTGCCTCCCGATCCCGCCCCCTCCCCTCGAACCCCTGGGGCCTGGCTGGGTGCGGTGGGCTTGGCCGCAGAGCCCACCCTAAAGCCTCTACACGGGGGTTCGGAGGGGGTCTGGGCTTCTCCAAGAGGCAAACGAAGCGACCTCGCTTTTGACCACCTTCGCTTCCAAACGGAAGCTAAACGATACCAAACTGCCCGTGGAGTGGCCCGCAACGGTCAGGCCGGTCGACGAGGAAGCGCGTGGTGTGACTTGCTTCTGCCTGGAAGCGAAAGCGAGACAGGCTTTTCACCCTGTGATCTTGGGGGGAAGACGACCTACCTCGCTTTTGACCACCCTCGCTTCCAAGAGATACCAAACGATGCCAAATTGCAGCCTGTACTGGTCAGGCCGCTTGACGAGGAGGCGCGTGGTATGGCTTGGTTTTGCCTGGAAGCGAAAGCGGGGTAGGTAATTCACGCTCTGTGATCTTTCTTCTCCCCAGAACACCCCCTGACCCCGCCCTCAGGGGAGGGGGGCTTGGAGAGTCTCGCCATTGTCTGTGCCGCGGACTCTCCCCCCCAAAACTCCCTTCTGCAGGGCGTGCTTGGCCGAGCCCCGCAGAAGGGAGGAAGGCGGGCGAGGGTGGAGGAAGGAGGAGGAGGAGGAGCAGGAGGAGCAGGAGGAGGACGAGGACCAGTGCAAACCCGAGACTCGCCAAAGATGTTGACACACACCCCGAAGGAGTCTCTCCCGCAAGGTCTCCGTCCCTCACCCTCCGCCCACCACCAGGCCGACGTGCTTTGCCCCGCCGCTCCGACGCAATGCTCCCAACCGGGGGGGGGGTCCTGGGGGGGTTTGGCCCGGGTAACGGCAAATATACTGAGCAGGGAGCGACCGTCCCAACATTCCTACAGGCCTACCACGGACTGTTCCTAGAACCCCGAAATGTTCGAATCACACAGACAATGTTCGTATATAACATAAGGCCGATGCGTTAAAACAGGACGGTCTCGGCCAAACATGTCCTGAAACCATCCCGTGCAGACCACAAAAGGTTCCTAGAACAGTCTTCGGTGGGCCCATAGGCGAGCCGAGACGCCTCGCCACTGCTCGAAGTTGCGCGCCGCTGTAACAACACGGCCTCGCTCGCCGCCGCGCCCCCGCGGCGCAAGCCTGCCGCGGCGCGGCGGCGGCGCTCGCGCCCAGCGCACGCGGCTCAAGACTCGCCGCCGCGGCGCGCGCCCCCCGCGGACGTCCTCGCCGGGCTCGATCTGCCGTGGGGTCAAGAGACTGGTAGGATAAGGGCACCGCCGCAAGGATATGCGAGCTCCTCCGGCGCCCGTGTCGAAGCCTCTTCGGGCACGGCGGGCCATCGACAGGGGTCAAGGGTGGACCGAGCAGGCACGGATGCACGGGAAGCTGACTGCCTACCAGACCACCCCAACCCAACCCGAAGACCCGAATTTCGGGTTTGGGGGGGTTAAGGGTTCCACATGTGTTTTCTCTATGTTTCCAGCCCCCCCCCCACTGGAAATCGAGGGTAAACCTGAGCCTTCGGGTTGGGTTGGGGTGGTTTGGTGGGTGGTGAGAACCCTTAAAAGGCCACCCACCCTTGCCATCGATCTCGACTGAGACATAGCGGGGTCGGCGACTGCGGCCGCGCTCTCTTCGCGTCGCGTGGGGAGCCGCGCACAATACGCCGAAGGAACACCGTGTGCGAGAACAACGCCCAGCCTCCGTCCCCCCGTCTTTAACGTTGCCAACCATTTCGTTCCAGATGTTTGGTTCGAGATTTGTCTGCCCCCGCTTCTCCAGGGGCGCTTGTGCAATATCAAGGGTGGGGGGGCGGAGTGGGGCCATTCTCTGTTGTTCTCAAGCGCCTGTTGCAACGTTTCCCTTCGACGGTATGCACTCACGTATGTGGGACTTCGCCCGGAACATAAGGAGTGCATCTGTTATTGAGCTTCCCACGCTCGAGGACCTACCCTGCAGACAGGCTGCGGACTGCTCAGGAGGCCTGAGAGGTGAGGTCAGGAGATCTGGATCAATTGCGCTGGGGCTTCTCAATGGGCCGTGGTCGCAAACGTCTTTAGATGTGGCCCATCTTGATCACGTGGGTGCCTCGCATTCTCCGCCACGACACTCCACAGTAATGCCGAACGTAATGTGGAGCTTCCTCCAACCCACGCCATCAATCCGAAACTGTCCATCGCAATCCGAAGCTAAGCCGAGGCTATCGCTGCTATCCGATGCCTTGGGAACGACGAACAATGCAACCCTTTTCGGGACGGAGGTGGTCTCCAGAATAGTCACCCGCGTGCGCGACAGCAAGATTTGAGAAGGCGGAGGATGAGAGGGTAATTCTGGGCTGAAATGAGGAGGAGGAGGAGGAGGAGGAGGAGGAGGACGAGGAGGCAGGAGGAGGAGAGGAGGAGGAGGAGGAGGAGGAGGAGGAGGAGGTGGAGGAGGAGGAGGGGGGGATGGGAGGGGAGAGGGGGAGGGAGGAGAGGGGAGATGGGAGGGGGCAGGAGGAGGAGAGGAGGAGAGGAGAAGGAGCGAGGAGGAGGGGAGGAGGAGGAGGAGGAGAGGAGGAGGATGAGAGGAGGAGGAGGAGGCGGAGGCAGGAGGAGAGGCGGAGGGGAGGAGGAGGAGGATAGAGGAGGATAGGAGGAGGACGAGGAGGGCACAGCACGAGGAGATGTCCGCGCGGGGCGCCCGCTCCCGAGGCCGAGCACTCCAGAGACGCACGCCCTGCTTGGCCCAGGGCGTCGGAGGCCTGGAACTGCCGACCCGAATCCTCTCAGAATCGAGTCGAGTAGGGCACTGACCACAGAACTGATATACAGCGCGGGCGCGGCCGCGAGGGGCGGTGAGGAGCGCCAGGACCTCTCTGTCGGAGCGGGCGCGGCGCGCGCGGCGGCGGCGGGGCCTCCTCCTCCTCCTCCTCCTCCTCCTCCTCCTCCTCTTTGTCCTCCTCCTTCTCCTCCTCCTCCTCCTCCTCCTTCTCCTCCTCCTCCCCCTCCTGCTCCCCCTTATCCTTTAAGACGAAGCCGGGATCGGGGCAAAGCTTGACCGGGATAGAAATCATGCTCGGTTTTTCAAATCACTGGGGGCGCCACCGAACGGGCCTGCCACGCCTTGGGCACCATCGGCTTCGCGAGGGAAGGAATGCGCCCCGGCGCGGATGAGGCCACGGCGCGTATTTGGCCACGCGCGCGCCCGAGGGAATTCAGCGCCAAGCGCCTTTCACTCCAGAAGGCCCGACGTCAACAAAACAAACTTGAGGCCCCAAGGGGGCCCCAAAGAGGCGGACCGCCAAAACAATCACGCAACCAACGCAACGAAAAACACGTGTAAATGACAAAAAACGCAGCACTCAGTGACCTCTACGGCCACGCAACACCGCGAGAATGCCCAAGAAGGCATTGGAAAAGGAGCCCGCGCGCGGCCTGGCGACTTCCCCGCGCCGCCCCAAGGTTCCCGAAACGCGCCGAAATAACCGTAGAGAAAACCCCGGAAAGTCTTTGGAAGGCCCCCGCACTATGCAATATCCGCCACCGAATAATCTCGCGGACACCTAGCGCGCACGCGCGGGCGTCCACATGGATGCCCAACTCCGGTTTGGGAGACAATCGCGCGCAACCGCCCGGGGGCTTCGGCAACCTCGCGATTGGCCCAGGGGCCCGCGGGCCCCAGGGAATCGAGGACCGAGTTCGCGACTCCGGAAGCACTGGGCGCGGCGCCAGCCAGTCGCTCGTCTCTGGCTGACAGTGGGACGCCTGGAGATCCGGTAAAACCTGAGGAACCGCTTTTCAGAGATTCACAAAACCAGAAAACGGGGCGCGCCAAATTCTCGCGTCCGAACTTCTCTGAGAATCTCTGAAAATCTCTGAACTCGACACCCCGCGTGAAACATTCCCATAAACGCAAAACCTCGGAGCTGGCCGGGATTTCCCGTTCCGAGATTCTCTGAAATCGGCCTGCGGCGGCGCCCAACAGGTCTTCACGCGCCGAGGGTGGGGGCCGTGGACATCGCAGGCCGCGATGGCCCCGACCACGAGGTCCTTCCTCCCGCCCCTCGACGAGTCCACGCCCATGGACACGCTCTCTGCGCTGAGCGTGGACCGCGCCATCCGCCGGTACTTCTGCGCGACGACAGCCAACTAGCCGCCGACGGACAAGGCGATTCTTTTCCGAGCTGCGCGTGCCACCGAAAACGTACAATAGCCCTGGGCTCGGGGAGAAACACTTTCGAAGCATTTTCAGGCCGCCAGCGTCGTGGCTGCCGACCCGCCGCGCGCCGACCGCGAGACTAGCGGGGCCCGCTACGTCCACGGCGGCGGGCGGGCGCCCAAGAGAGCTGTCGCGACGGTGCGCGCGGCGGGGCGCCCGCCCCACTGCAACCGCACATGCGGCCTCCATGGCGCCAGAGGCGTAATATGTGTGACGCACTCCCGGGCCCCCCATCAACGCATCGGCCAGCGCCCAAGCCCCTGAAACGCAAACCTACTGCGCCCCTCGTGCAAGCCGCGCACCCGCTCCCAATGCTCGTGTACACCAGCTTTTCTGCCCGCCCTCAACAGTTGAATTGAGCGCCCACGCGTTACTTGGGCTCCTCAAGCCCTCGAAAAGTCCTTGGGGAACTTCTGCGAATGCGCGCGCTGCGCTCCACAATTCGGCGTTCCATTTTTCCTTGGAACTCTCCCAGAATCTCTGGTTCCGATTTGTCCCGATCTTCCGCTCAACTGATCCTTCCCCTCCACCTCCCCCTCCTCCTTCAAGAAACCCAACCCTGGAAACCCGCGCGCGTGGCGCACCTCAAGGAAAGGCCCGAGCATCCTGAACGAACTAGCTTCTTTGACGGCCGTGGGAAGTCACCGCGCAGCGCACGGAACGAAGAAGCCCAGGGTACCCTTGCGAACGTCAGATGGTTTCTTGATGCGCGCCCCCACTGTACCTCAACAGTGGTTCGCTCGCCAAATCTGCGGAACACGTGCGCCTCATGCTCGCACAGTCACGAACGTCATGCGTGCCTGCTGTAGACTCAGCGAGGAACCGATCTTGGGGGAAATCAGTTGAAGGGGCCCCGGGACACACAAACAAATACACACACAAATGACAGGATTCCCAATATGTTCCAATATTTTCTCGGTTTTTGTCTTCAATTGTCCATACTTTCCCATATCTTCGGGGGAATCGACGACCAATTGTGTCTGTTTTTTTTTTCCCTCCTGATCAATTCTCAGCCGATCCCCTACTCGATGAATCCCTGGAGCCCTCCGGGGGTCCATCCTGGGCCCATTCTTCGGGCCGCGCCTGGCCGTGGTGATGACGGCCCTCCGCAAAACAAACAAACAAAAAAAAAAACACGGGACCGCGACGGCGGCACGCCAAAACGACGACGACGACGGCACTCCAAACATCTTTGGCGGCGCGCGCAAGGGGGCAGGGGGAGGGGGGAAGGCTTCTTGGGAGGAGGCTGCTCCTTAGAAGGCGCCGGCCGGCCTTACATCTGCAGACAAGGCCGGCGATCTCTGAGAAGCAGGGGTGTTTCTAAGAAGCCTTCCCCCCTCCCCCTACCCCACTCTGCGCATGACCACCACTTGACGCTGTGACTTTGTCAATGCGCTGCCCGAGGGCTCCCGACTCCTTCGAGAGGCTAAATCTTGTCGCGACTGGACTGAATCAGCCGATCGGCAATCTGTGCTGAGCAGGGACTGGCCGTCCCGGTATTCCCACAGGCCTACTACCAAATATGATCAGAATTGTGCTCTACTCGCGCAGACAACATTTTTGAGAGCAATCGAACCGATGGATTGAAGCAAGGCTGCTGCAAACCACCAATGCATTGAAGCAAGGCTGCTTCAAACCACCAGAGGTTATGATAACACTCTTTGGCGGCCCTGCGGGAAGGTCAGGACGCTTCGCCACTACTGGACGGCAGAGATCGTCGACCGTCGTGTTAGGTCGGGCGTGTCCCCCTACAGGGGGATCTTGGCGGACAAAAAAAATAATACCCCCAAAATGCTCAAGAATGCAATCAAACACTCAATGAAGACGTCCCCTGACAATTTTGTGGACTATATTTTTGCACACTCCCCCCGGCAGGAGGGACACGCCCGACGGAACCCGGTCGCGCCTGCAGGCAGAACTTGCTGCTCTCCTCGTCCAGCGCGCCGTCGCAGCGCAGCACGCAGCCGAGGCAGAGGCCCGCCAGCAGCCTGCGCACGCGCACGCGCGGCGGGGCGCCCCCCCCGCGGGGGCGGCGCAGCGGCCACATCTCGAAGCGCGGGAGAAGGAGGAGGAGGAGGAGGAGGAGGAGGAGGAGGAGGAGGGGATAAGGAGGAGGAGGAGGAGGAGGAGGATAAGGAGGGGAGGAGGAGGAGGAGGAGGTAGGAGGAGGGAGGAGGAGGTGAGGAGGAGGAGGAGGAGGAGGAGAGGAGGAGGGAGGAGGAGGAGGAGGAGGAGGAGAGGAGGAGGGAGAGAGAGGGGGAGGCGGAGTCGCGCCGCCGCCGAGGACGGGCGGCCGCCCGCCAGGCCTCCGGGGCCCCGTCGTCGGGGGCGCCCCAGCGAAGGTTACCGGCCTCGAGCGTATCCCTGTCCCTAAGGTTGCCACGCCAAGAGGCGATGACAATCTCAGGGACTCGCCCTCAAAAAGTAAGGAAATCCCTAAGATTGGCATCGCGATGAGGAGGCGCCCAGCATAGGGATAGGGATATGTTCCAGGCTGGTAAAAAGGAGCGTTCGAGGCGGGGGCCAGCAAAAGATCGTGGCCCGAGGCACGTGCGCGGCCCCGCGGGGGGGGGGGGGGGAGCTGAGTGTGCGCTCTCGGGAGCCACGGGGAGCCCTGAAGTCCAGGGAGATAGCACGGTCCTGGCCACATGCCATCCGCCCCCCCCCCCTGGTCGGGGGTTGAGAAGGGTGCCCTCAGCCTTGGCCCAGGGTGCCCGCAGCTCGTCGCACCATGCTGGAGCTCCTCGGGCCCCCTGGGCCTCGTGGGCGGTGCTCTGGAGGCCGTGGGGCCTCCGTGGAAATCCTGGAGGCGCCTGGGGCCAGGGGGCACCTCCGGCAACACCCGACCCGGTCATCACCCCCCTCCTGGACTCCTGGCCGACCCCGACGCCTCGTGCGGCCTCCTGCTCCTCCTCCCTCCTCCCTCTTCCCTCCTCCCTCCTCCCTCCTCCCCCGCAGAAACTCGAGCCCTCCCCGATGGGTCCGAGCAGACGGGGTCGGAAGTTCGCGCCAGAGCGCCGATCGGCGATGCACCGACGACGCCGACGTGAAGAACATCGGCGACGTCCACATCGAGCCGCATCGGCGATGCGGCGCGATCCTCCGACCCCACCTGCTTTTGGGTGACCCCAAAGGGGGTCCAGCTGAAAGGGGGTGGTAATATATTTGGGGCAATTGTATTGCAACTGAATTGCGCAGGAGAATTGGATTGCATTGTATTGCAAGTAATGTATTGCACGCGAAAATCCAGCAATACATTTGCGCCCCGAAATGTTTGCACGCCCCAAATGTTTTGCAACGCCACAAGCCTATTGCACCAAATCTATTGCACCACCCCCTTGTCGCTGGACCCCATTTTGGATCAATCCGACCAATGCTCCGTCACCATTTTGGAGGCCTAGAGAAAGGAAGGGTCGAGAACTCTGGGGGCCCGGGGAGCGACCGCAGGACTCTCCGGAGTCGAGTCAACGTCTGAGCCCGTTCGGCCGCCGATCCGCTGCTGACTACCTGCCAGACCACCCCAACCGAACCCGAAGACTCAAATTTCGGATTCGGGGGGAGAGGGGGGGGCTACGGTCGGAGGCGCGCAAACACGGATTTGCGATCCATGGATTTGGCGCGCGGTCGCCAAATCCATGGATCGGGGGAATGCCCTCCCCAAAATGTGGCCGGAGCCGCCTCGTTCGGCGGCGGAGATGCGCGGTGCCCCATGGAAACGGGACCCGTCGCTAATCCACGCCCCCTTGAGATCCATGCTTGCGATCGCCTGACAGGGGTTCGGCATGCGTTTTGCTTCCATGCTCTCCCACGCCCCCCCTCACTTGGGCGCCCGAGTTATCCGGGGGAACTTGGGCCCGGGGTAACTCGGGTTTGGATTCCCGAAACACGAACCCGAGTTAGCCCTGACCCGAATTACCCCTGATGATTTGGGGCTCTGGATGCCCGAGTTATCCGGGGTAACCCGGGCCCGGGGCAACTCGGGTTCGGATTCCCGAAAAACGAACCCGAACTAGCCCTGACCCGAGTTACCCCTGATGATTCGGGTCTCTGCCTCACTGGGAATTGGGGGCCTTCGGGTTGGGCCGTGGTGGTCTGCTGGGTGGTGAACGTCTGAGCCCGTTCGGCCGCCGACACGCTGCACGACAGAGTGGCTCTGGGCAAAGGTGACCTCTGGTGCGCGGCTGCCGGGTCGTTGCGTACGGTCCAACGGTAGCCGTGGGACGGGCATGTCCCACCACAGGGGAATACAATACAGGAAAAGAAAGTTAAGCAATACCCAGAAATAGTCAAACAATCATCGAAAAATCGTCCCCACACTATTTTTTAACTACGTTTGAATATTCCTCCTGTAGAGGGACAGGCCCGACTCAACGGTAGCGACGGTAGCGACCTCCGCATGCCTCTGGGCGCGGCTCCGCAGAGCCCCCTGGAGGCCACGCACCGCAGGCCACCCTGGCCAGAGATTACTCTTACGACCAGCTTTAGGTCGGGCATGTCCTGCTGCAGGGAGATCTTGGACGCATAATAAATCACCGTCCAAACACCTTGAAAACTTGAACATCGCTTCTTTCTTTTTTTCGAAGACATCCCTATTTCTACTGGAATACTATGTATAATCTTTCTCCCATTTCTCCTTAAAACAAATTTTTCAAGTCCAAAGCCTTGAATACTACCTCACCCATTTGTGAATACTCCTCCTGTAGAGGGACACGCCCGACTGTGACTACCTACCAGACCACCCCAACCCAACCCGAAGACCCGAATTTCGGGTTGGGGGGGGTATGGGCTCCATGTGTTTTTTCGATGTTCCCGGACCCCCCCACACTAGAAATCGAGGGTAAATCAGACCCTTCGGGTTGGGTTGGGGTGGTTTGGTGGGTGGAGAGACTGAAGCCCAGCCGAGCCGAGCGGGTGCCACGATTCGAGCCCTCGCGGCGGCCAGGCGGGGCTCAGATCCCACCATTTGGACGCCCGACTTGGGTACCGAAAAAATGGGTACGATGCCCAACAGCAAATGTTGTCCCGAGCCAACAGCGGCCGCTGTTGGGCAGGCGGCCTTCTGTCTCAAATGAACACAGGCCGCGGCGGCGTGGACAGCGAATCCTGTTCAAAATGAACAAGATCCGCTGTTGGGCAGTGTACCCATTCTTTCAGTACCCATGTCGTGCGTGCAGAAGATCCAACCAGATCGGCAACCCGCCATCGCTCGCACGTCCAGTCCTCCCCCCGAGCAGGCTCCGCGCCCGTGCGCGCACTCTGCTCGCAAGCTTCGGGCCGGGCGCAAGGGGGGGACAGCAAAGGAGGGGGCTTTGAGAATCAGCTCACGTACTCCAGATTTCGTAATAAAAAGGGAGGGGGTCTGGACCCCCCAAGACAAGCCATTTCAGACCCCCCCCTCGTGGGAGAACCCTCCAAAACATCGTCCCCAGACCACCCCAGACCCTCCAAGATAGCCTGGAAGAGACCCCCCCCGAAATGAGACCCCCCTCCCTTTATTACGAAATCTGGAGTAGCTGATTTCCCCGGCGCCTCCCGGCGCCGGGAGGCGCCCATGCGCATCGAGGAATGGGCCCCTCGGTGGGGCTGCAACCAGCTGCACGCAGCAGATTTCGTGACCCCCCCCTTTCCCAATCCCCTCCTCTCGTCCGGCCTGATCAACGCTGCTTTTCGTGCTGTGCTCGTGTGGTGCTTCGTCTTGCTCTACCTGTTTTCCTGTACATCCTCCCCGCCAAGACGAACACGTTCGGCCCGAGAGGTGATCTGGCCATCGCTCGGACGTCCCTTTCCTGTGTTCTTCTCGGCTTCGTGCGTGGCTGTTTCGCCAAATGACCAAGGATGCTCCTCAATGGCCCTCGCCGAAGGAAAAATGCACACGTCCGAGCGATGCCAAGCTTCCGAAATCAGAATGGACCTTGCCCTGACACGTTTTAGTGCAACCTGCGCACACGGGGGCGGCCCGTTTCCTACTCCCCCCTCCTCCCCCTCCAGGTCCAATTCGCTCTCACCCACCAGCTCCGCCGTTCCCTCGATGGTCCTCGCCGAAGGAAAAAGGCACACGTCCGAGCGATGCCAAGAGTGCTGCCATCCGCGCTCCTCGACGGCCCGCGCCGGGGAGCATGCGCACGCCGGGGAGCGGCGCCGCGGCAACTCCTCGGGACCCCCCCGGGGCGGGCCTCGGCCCGCGGCGGGAGGCCCCAGGGAGCCCACAAAGGACGTACGCGCCCAGCTGTGTGCACGAACGCGGTCCCTTGAACCGCGAGACCGGCCGCGTGATACGAACACTCGCGCGTGATACTCCTCCTCCTCCTCCCCCTCCTCCTCCTCCTCCTCCTCCTCCTCCTCCTCCTCCTCCTCCTCCTCCGGGGCTGCGTGAAACCAGCGTGGGCTCCTGCACGTGTGCGTCCTTCTTTCGCTCCTGACCTGAGGCGGGGCGCGAGCTCCCGGACGGCGGAGGGCGGCGCAGGCGTGGCGAGCCTCCCGGCGGCGAGGGCTCCCTCGTGGAGAGGCCGCTCACGGGCGCCCTGTGGGTACTCCCATAAAGGGCCTCTGGCGGGCGTGCTGGCGGCCTCGGAGCCCGTGCTTCTGCCGCTCGCGGTCACGGGCGTGGTCGGGGAGGAGGAGGAGGAGGAGAAGGAGGAGGAGGAGGAGGAGAAGGAGGAGAGAGGAGGAGGAGGAAGAGGATGAGGGGGGAGGAGAGGAGGAGGAGGAGGAGGAGGGAGGAGGAGGAGGAGGAGGAGGAGGGAGCAGGATGAGGAGGAGGAGAGGAAGAGGAGGAGGAGGGAGGAGCAGGAGGAGAGGAGGAGGAGGAGGAGGAGGAGGAGAAGGAGAGGAGGAGGAGGAGGGGGAGGAGGTCGCCCCCCCCCCCCCCCGATCACATCACGGCGGGGGACCGCCGGAAGCCCTGGGAAATCCTCGAAGAATCCGCAGGGGCATCTTTCTGCAGATGGGGGCACGATAGCGTGGCGCGATCCGGGGGGGGAGGGAGGGCGCGGTCGCTGCCCGAGTGTCTTCGTGTGTTGACAAATCGCTATCAGTAGTGATAACGGCGAAAACAACATTAACAGAAGCGGTAGACCATTTTGTTAAATAGGGGGCGGTCGAGGCGGGCCGTCAGCGACCTCGGGGCCCCTGGGGTTGCCGCGCCGACGTCGCTGCGCGGAGGGCCGCGGTTGGCAGCGGTTGCCGGCGGCAGGCGCGGGGCCGGGCAGCAACGGCCGCCGCTGCCGGCCACGTCAAATTAGAGGACGCGCTGGAGCCGACTTCTGCCGCTAGCCGTGAAGCCAAAAAAGTCCTGAGATCGAGGCAAGGAGAACGGAATACACGAGGTCTTGGGCGCGAATCAGTGGGGGGCGACACCTGAAGGGGGGGGAGGAGTGCACTTTTCCGACCCTAAGCCCCCTTTGGGGCCTGAGAGGGCCCCTTTCAGGCTCTAAAGAGCCCCCTTTCTGCAGCCCTCGCTGCCCTCTCGTGCATCGCCCCCGCTCGTTACGCGGCCTCCAGAGGTCACGTGGAGGCCCGGGATCCAGGGCTCTCGACCCCTGGATCTCCTCCTGAGCCCGTCTGGGCGGCGGGGTGGGCTCGAGTGCCACCGCGGTGTCGGCATTGAGCGGGCTCAGACGCCGAACGGGCCCGCACGGGCTGCGCTTGGCGGCGCGCAGAGGGTAGGGGGAGGGGGGAAGGCTTCTTAGAAGGAGGCTGGCCCTTGGAAGGCGCGGGCGTTACATCTACAGACAAGGCCCGCGCCTTCTAAGAAGCATCCTCCTTCAAAGAAGCCTTCCCCCCTCCCCCTACCCCCTCTGCGCGTGCCCGGTACGCGCCGCTGCTCGACGCCGGCGCCGACCCCCGCCGCGAGCGTCGAGGCAGCGCGAAGCTGCCGCGGGCCGCGAGGGAGGCTGGCGCCAGCCCCTGCCTGCGCACGAGGGCGCGCGGGAGGAGCTTTTGGACTCCAAAGGGTGCCGGGCTGGCCTCGCGCGCGCCCCGCGCAGGGGCGCACGAGGTCTGGGCGGGAGAGGAGGAAGAGGCGGCGCCCGACGACGAGGACGAGGATGAGGATGACGAGGACGGCGCGCGGGAGGGGGGATGTGGAGTTGAGGAGGGAGGGGAAGGGGGGGGGAGGCGGAGGAAGCGGAGGAGGAGGAGAAGGAGGAGGAGAAGGAGGAGGAGGAGGAGGAGAAGGAGGAGGAGGAGGAGGAGAAGGACGAGGAGGCGGACGAGGAGGTCGAGGAGGAGGACGAGGAGGAGGAGGAGGAGATGAGGGAGAGAAAGGGGCGGCAAGCGAAAGCTGGACGTTTTTGTCCCTTCCTACTCCGTATCCCTATCTGCCGGACCCCTCCTCCTGCTCTGCCCCCCCTTCCCACCATTCTGCCCTCCTGCTCCTCACCGCCCTCTCTCTCCTCCTTCAACTCCTCCTCCCCACGCCTCCTCCTCTCCCCCCCTCCTCTCCTCCTGCCGATCCTCCTCCTTCCTCCGCACAATCGTTTCCCAGATCATGCTTCGTCGCCGACGTAGGCCGCTGGCGGGCGGCCGCCGCGGCGCGGGGCCCCGACGGCCAAGGAGCGCCCCGGCTCGCGCGCAGAGGGGCCCGCGCCTCGCGCAGAGGTCCGGCGACCGCAGCAGCCGGCCCAGCAGCTTAAGTCCTCCGCCGCGGGCGGCGGACTCCCCCTCCCTCCTCTTCCTCCTCTCCTCTCCTCCTCCTCCTCCTCCTCCTCCGCCTCTCCTCCCCTCCCTCCTCTTCTCCTCCTCCTCCGCCTCCTCCTCCTCCCTCCTCCTCCTCCTCCTCCTCCTCCTCCTCCTCCTCCGCCTCCTCCTCCTCCCCTCCTCCTCCTCCTCCTCCTCCTCCTTCTCCTCCTCCTCCTCCTCCTCTCCTCCTCCCCTCATGTTCCTCCTCCTCCTCCTCCTCCTCGTCCTCCTCGTCCTCCTCCGCCTCCGCCTCCGCCTCCGCCTCCTCATCCTCAGCCTCATCCTCCTTCTCATGTTCCTCCTCCTCCTCCGCCTCCTCCTCCTCCTCCTCGTCCTCCTCCGATGTTTTCTCCTCCTCCTCCTCCTGAGGACCTGGCCCCTGGTCCCTGAGCTCTGAAACCAGGGCCCTCACGGTTTTTGGTTTCGCCATCACGCTGACGTCCATTTCCCGTGCGTGTTTCGGTCTCGTGCGTGCTTTGATGGCTCGGTAATCCCGGATGCGCCTCGATGGTCTTCGCCGGGGAAACAAACGCACACGTCCAAACGATGCCATGCACTTGGGTGGCCCAGAGCCGCCTCCTGCGACTACAACCTGCAGCGCCACAGGGCTTGCTCGTGGGCGCGGAATGTGTTCTTCGTGCATTGTCGACTGTAATGCATGTGCCGTTCGCCCGAGATCAAGTAGACCCTCAGTGTCGCCGACGACGAAGGTTCGAGGCTTGGGGCGTTGTCGGTACTGTTTGGGGCCTCCTGGGGGCTTTTCGTGGAATCCGCGGCGGAATCCGGTCTCGAGAGTCTGGCCAGGACGGCCCCGGAACAAAGTCGAGGGACGACGTTTGACCCCTGCATCCAGACATCCCGATTACGAAGCCTTCGCCGTTGTAAACGCGGGCGGCGACGACTGCAGCGGGAGGCGACAGCGACGGGGCTCTCCTCCTCCCCCTGCTCCTCTTCCTCCTCCTCCTCCTCCTCCTCCTCCTCTCTCCTCCTCCTCCCTCCTCCTCCTCCTCCCTCCTCTTCCTCCTCCCCCTCCTCCTCCCCCTCCTCCTCCTCCTCCTCCTCCTCCTCCTCCTGTTCCTCCTGTACTCCTCCTCTACCTCTCCTCCTCCTCCCCTCCTCTCCTCCTCCTGCTCCTCCTCCTCCTCCTCCTCCTCCTCCTCCTCCTCCTTCTCCTCCTCCCTTTGCTCGTCCTCGTCCTCCTCGTCATCAACCTCGTTCCTCCTCCTCCTGACTGTTTCCCGACGGCTTCACTGTTCTCAAACGCAGCCGCTCCCCCCAGGGAGGCCCCGGTCGGGCCCCCTCTGGGGGGCTGGAGCGAAAATGAAACGCTCACGGAAACAGGGACCCGCCGACAAGGAGGGGAGAGAAAAAACAATCCAAGCGTGGCGCCCTCGCATTGAGGATTGGCCGTAATAGTAAACGACATTGACCTTTATCCTCAGCTGCGGTCCCGTACCCGTCCACCTTGAGTGCCAGATGTTCAGAAGGCGGCTTCAGATGGCGCGAGCGTGCGGCGGCGGGGGGCGAGGGCAAAGGGCCCGAAGACACCTGGGCAGGGTCCTCCACCCTTGGGCCCACGGGCCCTGCAAGGCCAATTGCCCCAGGGGGGCGCCCAGGGTCCTCCTCCGTGGGGGCGCCTTTTTTACCAAGTGTTGGGGTGGGGGCTGGCCATGGGCGGCGCCTCGCACGGTGCCTCCGGCTCCCTCGGCTCCCACACTTGCGGCAGCACGTCTGGCGCGAGGCGTGCGCGGGGCACGGGGTCTCCAGTTCCCTCCGAAGCAAGCGCGGTCGTGCATGGCGGGGGGGGCAGCGAGGCAGGAGATTGCACGGTGAAAAAGGCAACAGACGTCGGCCCCACGCCACATGGAAAGATGGCGGGGTGATGGAGCGGGCGTGTCTCGGGGCCGCCAGGCGGATATCCACTAAGCGCGATGCAGGTCTGCGTTTTCCTACTGGTGGCTGGTGGCTGCTTTCGCCAAATGGGCGAGCCACGCCTAGTGGCCGCTTTTACTCTGGATGGCAGGAATGCCCTACCCCCCGCGCAAAGGAAGCCCCCCTAAGCCGCCGCCGCCTGCATGACTGGCACCCTCCCCCGTCGCATGTAGTCGCCTGGAAATGATCGCAGTCGCAACTGATGGCCGCTCCACATTGTACTGCCTGCCCCAGCGGTGCGCCACGAAGTGGGGGGGGAGCCCCGCGGGGGCCCGAGCTGATCGCAGCCGCCACTGATGTTCGCGCTGCAGGGCACTCCCGTAGAGAGTGTAGGATCCCAAACTACCAGCTGCGCTGCATCCGTCACGCGGCGAATGCCCACGCGCCGGTAAAAAGGATGACGCAGAAATGGGAATTCGGAAGGTGGCCGCCGCTAGGCCAGCCCACTTGCGAGGCGTGTCTCGGCGTGGTGGGCGACCAGAAGGGGGCCTCCTGATTCGCCGCGTTCGGATCGCGCCGGTCACGCGGGATGGCGTCGACGGCGCCTGCCGACGTCGGCTGGGGTCCCCACGGGTCGGGCCGTAGACTGGGAAGGCCTGCTTGTCCATCGTCTGCCGGTCGCTCTGGTGGGCGACGCCGCGGCTTCCGTCTGCGGGCTGGGGCGTCGGCGGCTTCCACGTGCAAGCCGCGCGGTACGCGGCCAGGTCTGCGTTGTGGTCAGCGATCGCATGGCGGATGGTAGCTGCTGCATCGCAGTCGTCGCGGGTGGTGCGCTGCGTGTTCTGGCGCGGCTCTTGCTGGCGCTGCGCGGTCCTGCCGCCGTCTGTTAGGCCCTCGATGAGCGCGATCCACTAGGGCTGCCATTTGGTGGTGTTGCTGGTCAGCTCCGCCCCCTTCGGTCCTGAAGTCGGCGGCCGCTGACCCAGCTGTCGCCCGTGGCGGGATGCGGTCCTGGTGTCCTCGTCGCTGAGTTGCATCGGTGGAAGACGGTCAGGGGGTCGGGCTTCTGCTGCAAGCTCTGGACACGCTGTGGGTCGTCCTGGGGTTGCGGCGTCTGGTCGGCAATCTTGACCATTGCTTTGGGTGCGGTTTCCCTCTGAAAGTATGTGACAAAGAATGGAGTCGGCGTGGACGCACGTCTGCGTCGCACGGCCACCCTGCTGCCCATGAGGATGTCTCCCTACTGATGTACCACCTCTGCTGGCTCAGGGATGTCGTCGCGACCGCGGTGCTTCGGGCAATTCAAACATTGGGCCAGCTGGCGGTTGGCGTAGTTGGCCAAGTTCCTTTGTCGATGGGTCACGTGGAAAGGGCGCGCCCCCCGCAGCTCATCGGACTCGCAGTGGCAGTTCGAGGCCCCTCCCACGCAATCAATGACCTTGTCGCATTCGATGCTGAAGTCCAGATCCGTTCCTGTGTCCCTGTTGGTCTCGCCTGAGTCAATCATGTCGGTAATCTGGACGAAGTGGTCAGCGATCGCCTCGTGGGTGTATCCTGGACATCGCGCTCTGGCGGTCGTAATGGTCGTTGCTAATGGTCATGGTCAGGCGCTCGATGACGTCGTGGATGCGTTCCTTGCTGCCCGCTTCATTGCCGTGCCTGGTGGTGGGCCTGGGGGTCGGCTTGTGAACTCGATGGCTGCGTCCCAGTTCCGCGTGGCGTCGCCGTTGGCCCTCTGGATCGTTGCGCCCGCGTTTGATGCATCTGGGCGGGCTGCGCTCCCCGGGTGCCTCCCGTGGTTGCGCGGGGCGGTCGGAGGTGTCTTGGATGGTACCTCCTGCCAATCTGTGGTCTGCTAGCTTGCTTGCCCTCGCCGCCGAATGCGTCGCCTGGCGCGGTCATGTGCGTGATGGGCGCAGGCGCGAGCGCGGCTGGTGGCGCCTTGCAGCGCGGCAAGGGATTCGCTGCGTGCGTCGGTGTCGCTGGGGTCGCTGCTGTTGACGCAGCTGGTGCTTCGCTGTTTTGGAGATGAAGCCGCGCGTCGTTCCTGTGATCAATTCCCTCGTGGCTGGAGGGCACCGCGCCCTCCGTGGTCGGGGCGGTCAAGAAGTCGGGTAGCGCGCGGTCACCGCCGCAGTCTGCTGCCCGTTGCTGGAGGCGCTGCCGCGCGCGCGGTCAATCGTAGAAGTGCACGGCCGTGCTGCGTGGAAATCTGCGATGCTAGTGAGCGCCCTCTGCCGGGTGCCGAGGTGTCGCCCTGGTTGGAGAGGAGTAGCTGCGCGGGTCGGCCCCCTGTCGGCGTCGGGGCGCTTCAGGTCGATCACCGCGTCGTCGCTCGCCTAGTCAACTGATGCCTCGAGGCGGTCGGCGCTGATCCTGAACTCGTTCTCGTCGCGGCGCTGTGCGATGGCCGAGTCGAGGGGGGCCATGCCGACTGCGACGGACCGAGCCTGTGGCAATGCCGACCGCTGCCTCGGAAGCGTTTGAGGCAGGGGCGGTCGCGCCCTGATGGGCGTGGCCATCGGCGGTCACTGGATAATGTTGTGGCTGGCGTCGTAGAAGAATTCGACATCTTGCCTGATAGAGCTCTCCACCAGCCCGGTTGAAAGAACGCGCTGCCTGGGTCTGTCCACGTGGTTTCTCTGGTGTCCAGACTTGAACAGTAGACCTGGTGAAGCAGGCGATCCATGGCCTTGGTAGTGGTAACGATGGTTGCGTGCTAGCGGTAGTCCTTCTGGCACTCCAGCGCGTCGGGGTGCTTCAGACAGCGAGCGCGCGCTCCATATCGGGTAGTCCGGCGGGAAGAAGGCGGCGGCGACAACTTACAAAAACAGCTTGCACATGACGCCCCAGACAAGAGCAGGCCATCGCGCGGAGGAGGGGGATGGCGACTTAGACCCACCTGTCGGGGTCACCGACGAAGAACGCCGGCACCTGCACAACTCGTGGCGACGCGCAGGGTGCCCATCAATCGCTGCACAGAGACCTACGGCCGCATGGGGACCTTGGCCACCGACGCCCACAACCTGACGTCGCACATCAGCCCCCGCCTCCGTCAAGAAGGACTGGACATGCTGCGCAGATTGATTACATCCTGCTACGTCGCCCAAGGTGACAATTACCAGCCGGAATTCTAGCTCAACGGGCTTGCAATGCGCATCCCCGCAACCACCGAGATCAAATTTCACAGTGGCGCTCAGCTTGCAAGGCGCGAGCGGCCAAGACGCGCGCAAGCTACCCCAACGACTCCGCAGACATCCAACAAGGCAACCACAGCCCATCCGACCCATCAGGCGCCCGACGGGGCCCAGCCCCCACCGTGGATGCCTGCCCTTGGCCACCATGGTGGCGAGCGTGTCGGTCAGGCGCAGGGGGAGGGGCAAGGCTTCGCTCTGGTCCAGGACGTTTCTGTTCTGGTTTGTCGCGTGGGGAATCCACATGATGTCGTGGCTCTGCGGGTGGATCCCCGTGCGCTCGGAGTCTTGGGAAACTGCCCTCCTCTGCGCCTGCGCGGACAGCACCGCGTGGATCTGGTCGACGCCTTCCATCTCAATTCCTCGCGGGCCACGTGGAAGGATCGGGTAGACGAGGTCCCTCGCCGCGATATCTCTGGTCCTATTCCACGGTGGCGCGGCGATCAATGCGCATCTTTGCGTAGATGCGGGTTGGCCAGCTTCGCGGGCACGCGCCCATAATGTTTTCCTGTAGCATGGCATGTGGGCCGGTTATGCCGTTAGGGTAGGTCCATCTGGTTGGTTTTAAAAGATGACGCGGTTCCTGCTGAAGAACTGGCGCATTGCTGCGTCGGCTGCTCCTGCGGTGGATCTCTTCCATGGCTCGGTGGCGGCGGCCAAGTGGGCGGGCGTGCAATTGCGCGGGTGCGGGTTGCTCACGCATCCCTCGGGCCTGGGGCGCTGGTTGGGATGTAAACTTGCCCGGCCTCCAGGGACGCGTGGTCGCACTCCCCCGTGGGGGCTCGGACTGAATGCCCTCTTGTGTGCGGTCGGGGGCGCGCGCCGCGGCTTGGCGTCCTGCAAGTCTCTCGGTTCCAGGCTGGAGGGCCTTGTCCATGGAGTAACCTTGGCGGGTCGTCGTGTTGGAACTCGGCCGCCGCAGCGGGGGCAGTGTCGCGGTGCCCATGCCGAACGACTTGTTGTGCTCGTTCCGCGCTTCTTGCCGACAGGTCCTTCTGTCCTCCTGAGATGTTTAAGGAAGGAGTGGGGTCATCACCCAAGACGGCGAGATTGTGAAAGTCTCTTGGACTTCTGGGCCATACGTCAAGCCCTTCGGACAGTGGGCATGCAGACGCGCACTGCAACAGCTCCTCAGTCCCTCCTCCTCTGTCCCCTTCCTCCCTCCTCCTCCCCATCATGCCTCTGCAGTTAGGAGGAAGAGAAGGAGGAGGAGGAGGAGGAGGAGGAGGAGGAGGAGGAGGAGGAGGAGGAAGAGGAGGAGGAGGAAGAGGAGGTGGAAGAGGAGGAGGTGGTAGAGGAGGCGGAGGAGGAGGAGGAGGAGGAGGAGGAGGTGGAGAAGGAGGAGGAGGAGGAGGAGGAGGAGGAAAAACACTACTCCCATCCCGCCCCTGAAGATGGCTGGGTCGTGCCCCCCCCTCTCCGCGTATATTTGTTCCTGCGCACCGGACTTCACATGTTGACCATTCCTGCTGTCAGAATCCGAAGCACATCGGTGTCTCAAGACGGTGCTGCCGCTCCTCTCTTTTCTAGATCGGCGCTGTGCTCCCGTTGTTCAGAATGGGCCTCCAGTGTACGCAACTCCCCTTCTCCGATGGTGCTTGCCGGCCACCGGGGGGTGGGGAGGCAAGCAGGGCCAGCGGATGACGTCAAGGCAAGGCAGCCCACTCGGAGTGCGTGCGGCTGCCTGTGGTGGTTCGTGGCCTCCCTTCTCCAGCCCCCCCCCTCCCCCGCAGACACGGCCTCGATCCTCGATCCTACATCCTCCGCCGCTCCCTCCTGCCGTGTCCCTGGCCTCCCCGTGCACTCTGCTCCCCTCCCCACCCGTGCACGAGCGCCGCGCAAATCCGTATCAGTGCCCCAGCGTTCTGGACTCTGGGGCGGGATCCCGTGGGTACTCCGGATTCCATAATAAAGTGGGGGGGGTCACATTTCGGGGGGGGGGGTCTGATTAGAGCTGTCTTGGAGGGTTCGGGGGGGTCTGGGCAAAGGGCCGCCCTTTCATGGATGGTCTGGGGGGGTCTAAGACTCCTCGTCTGGGAGGGTCGTGACCCCCTCCCTTTTATTACGAAATCTGGGGCACGCGATCGCACGGATACGCTCCGCGAGGGGCATCCGCACGAAACCGCCCCCGCACCCGCGGGGCCGCGGCCAGGAGGAGCCCCGTCCGCGCGGCCGTCGACACGGATCTGCCTCCCGCCGGCGGCCCGCAGAGGTCCGCAGGCCGCGTTGCAGCTGAACGCCTGCACCACGCCTGGCTCGCGGGGCCGAAGGGTGGCCGGACGCGAAGAACGGGGGAGGGCGGCAAGTTCGAAGTCGGGCCTGTCCCCCTACAGGAGGATCTTCGACGAAAAATAAAACATAACCCAAAAATGCACCCAAAAAGGTAAAAAAATACAAAACATATGGTCCCCAGACTATTTTGAAACTATTGTTTGACTATTTTGGGGGTATCTTTTATTTTTCGTCGAAAATCCCCCTGTAGGGGGACAGGCCCGACTTAAGGCAAGTTTCCAGACCTCCAGAAGCTCGAGGTCGCGGAGCCTGTCGGCACCTCTGACCTCTGAAGGCGGCTTCGGACCCTGGCGCCGTCGAGAAAAAAGCTCCAGGACAACAGGCCAGTCCCAACTAGAAGAAGAACAAACGCCATATACATACACTTTGGGCGCTCCGCGCGGATGTCTTGGATCTGCGCCAGACCCCCTCCCTGGCGCGCGCCAGGGGCGGCGCCGGAAGCGCCGCTGGGGGGCCCAGCGCGGATCCGAGAAATCCGCGCGGAGCGCCTAACATTTATGTTTATGGCGTTTTTCCTCCTCGAGACGTCGGCGCTGGATTCTGACGTCATCGTCGGCGAACCTGCCGTGAGCACTCCCAGGGTGCAAGCGCGGGTCGGTCTACCAACGGAGGAGGAGGAGGAGGAGGAGGAGGAGGAGGAGGAGGAGGAGGAGGAGGAGGAGGAGGAGGGGGAGGAGCAGCTCTTCGATAACAATATGGGGGAGGCGCTCGCGGGGCGTGAGGGGGCCGGGCGAGGCGGCACGCCGGTGTGCTTCTCGAGCACCTCGGAATACAGTCGAAACGCTGTCAGAAGAAACCCTGAACAAGGAGCGAGGCTCCTTTCTCCACAAGTTACTCCAGATTTCGTGATAAAAGGGAGGGGGTCACAGCCCTCCCAGACGAAAAGTTTTAGGCCCCCCCCAGACCATCCATGAAAGGGCGGCCATTTGTCCAGACCCCCCCGAATCCTCCAAGACAGCTCAAATCAGACCCCCACCAGAATGTGACCCCCCCCACTTTATCATGGAATCTGGAGTAAGCTTCGATCCCCCGTAGAAGACAAGAAGGAACACCTAGAACAAAAACTGTACAGCAATCAAGGAACAGAGAGCCCCTCCTCAACGAAAGGGGTCCCTCCTTCAGCGGCCCGACTGCAAAGCATCCAAGCAAACGCGTGCGTGCGCAAGCGGCTCTTGCGGTCTCGGGATGGCGTTCGCATCCGATGGGCTCTTGAGGCCTCGGGATGACTCCACGATAGCCCAAGAGGGGCCCAAGATGAGCCAAAGACAGCCCCAAGAGCGTCCAAGAGCGCCCCAAGGGGGGCCGAAGATGCGTTTTGAGGGCCCCGGGGGCTGACGTTGAGAACCCCTCCTTCTTTGGTTGATGGCCTCCACGATGGCCCTGAAGGCCCGCAAGAAGGCCCCAAGAGGCCCTCGAGAGCCAATGGGGGCCACAAGAGGGCTCCACGATGGCCCCAAGATGTCTCCGAGAGGCTCCTGGAGCTTGACTGCATGCTGCTACACATCCCTGATCAAGGCAACTCGCTGAAGCGTCAAGAATCCGCCACCGTGCCTCGAGGCACGAAGTGGAGTGTTCCCCAGGCTTCTAGGGTTCTCTGTAGTCTGCATTCCATATCACAGTCGGACTTGATTGGACAGGACGCGCGAGAGGACACAAGACCCTTCCAAGGGCCACATTGCCGTATGAATGCAGGAGGTATGGGCCGCGAGGCACAGGACACAAGGGGTCGACCTTACTAATCTGGGCCGACTGTATGACATTATAAGTAGGGGCGGGGAGCCCAAAATCTATAACTAGGGACAGGGAGCCCAAAATCTCGAGGGCGCGCCGCTGGATCACCCAAAGGGGCGGGGGGTGGTTCGGACCCCCCCCCCCCCTTGCCGAGCCGTCGTCGGCGAACCCCCCCCCCCCCCCCTTTGCCCGAGCCGTCGTCGGCGAACCCCCCCCCCCCTCCCCCCCCCCCCTTCCGGAGCCGTCGTCGGCGAACCCCCCCCCCCCCTCCCCCCTTTCCGAACCGTCGTCGGCGACCCCCCCCCCCCTTTCCCCGGCTCGCGTCCCGGCTCCGGAACCCCATCCCTACCACCCCCGCCCGGACCCCCCCGAAGCCCTAACCTGTAACCCAAACCCTGAACCCTAATCCTTAATCCCTAACCCTGAGCCTAAACCCTAACCGTAGACCTCACCCTGACCCCAAACCCGAACACTAAGCCTAGCCCTAACCTAAGCTCTAAACCTGAACCCTTAACCCTAACCCTCAACCCTATCCCTACACCCTAACCTCAACCCTAACCCTAACCCTAAACCCTAAACCCTAACCCTAACCCTAAACCCTAACCTCAACCCCAACCCTGACCCTAAAGCCTAAACCCTAGCCCTAAACCCTAAACCCTAACCCTACACCCTAACCCCAACCCTAACCCCTAACCCCCCAAACCCTAAACCCTAAACCCTAACCCTAAACCCTGACCCTAAACCCTAAACCCTAGCCCTAACCCCTACACCCTAATCCTTAACCCTAACCCTAACCCTAAACGCTAGCTCTAATCCTAACCCTAAACCCTAACCCTAACCCGAAACCCTAAGACCTAACCCTAATCCCTAACCCTAAACCGAAACCCTCAACCCTAAACCTTAACCCTAAACCCTAACCCGAACCCTAACCCTAAACCCTCACCCTAACTCTAAACCTTAACCCTAAACACAAACCCTAGCCCTAACCCTAAACCCTAATCCTAACCCTAACCCTAACCCTAAACCCTAAACCCTAACCCTCACCCTAAAACCTAACCCTAAACCCTAACCCTAACCCCTAACCCCTGACCCCTCAACCCTAACCCTAAACCCTCCCCCACCTCGACCCGCCCTAAGCCCTAACCTCTAACCCAAACCCTAATCCCTAACCCTAAACCTTAAACCCTGGCCCTAATCCCTAATCCCCAACCCCAACCCTAAACCCTAAACGCTAACCCTAACCCTGACCCCAAACCCTAACACTAAGCCCAGCCCTAACCTAAGCCCTAAACCTGAACCCTTGACCCTAAGCCTCAACCCTCACCCTAACCCTAAACCCTAACCTCAAATCAACCCTAACCCTAAACCCTAAATCCTAACCCTAACCATAGACCCTAACCTCAACCCTAACCCTGACCCTAAACCCTCAAACCTAACCCTAACCCCGAACCTCAACCCTAACCCTAAACCTTAAACCCTAACCCTAGACCCTACACCCTAGACCCTAACCCTAACCCTATCCCCTCAACCTTGCCCTAAACCCTAACGACAACACTAACCCTAACCCTAACCCTAAACCCGAAACCCTAACCCTTAACCCTAACACTCACCCTAAACCCTAGCCCTAGACCCTAACCCTAACCCCAAACCGTAACCCGAACCGTAAACCCTAAGACCTAACCCTAAACCCAAACCCTAACCCTAAATCCTCAACCCTCAACCCTAAACCCTAACCCTAACCCTAACCCCAAACCCTAACCCTAACTCTAAAACCCTAACCCTCAACCCTAACCCAAACCCTAGACCCTAACCCTAACCACTAACCCCTGACCCTCAACCCTAACCCTAAACCCTAAGACCCAACCCTAACCCTAACCCCAATCCCTAACGCCTAACCCCTGACCCTAAACCGTAAAACTCGCTCGCTGACCCGAACCCTGAACCCTAAACCCTAACCCTAATGCCTCATCCCTACCCCTAACCCTAAACCCTAACCCTAACCCTGACCCCTCACCCTAACACTAAGCCTAGCCTTAACCTAAGCCCCTAAGCCTCAACAGTAACCCCAACCGTTGGCCCTAACCCCTGCCCTCAACCCTAACCCTAACCCTAAACCCGAAACCCTAACCCTAAACCCTAAACCCTAACCCTAACCCCAAACCCCAACCCACACCCTACACCCTAAGACCTAACACTACACCCTAACCCTAAGCCCCAGCCCACCCTAAATCCTCAACCCTAACCCTACACCCTAAACCCTAAACCCTAAACCCTAACGCAAATCCCTAAACACTAAGCCTAAGCCCTAACCCTAACCCTAACCCTAAGCCCTAACCCTAACGCAAATCCCTAAACCCTAACCCTTAACCCTAACCATGCCACGAAATACGAACACTAACCCTAACCCTAAACTCTAAACCCTCAACCCTCAACCCTAGCCCTAACCCTAACCCCAAACCCTAACCATAACCCCAAACCCTAAGACCTAACCCTAAACCCTAACCCGAACCCCAACCCAAAACCCGAAACCCGAAACCTAACCCTAACCCTAACCCTAACCGTAAACCCTAACCCTAACTCTAAAGCCCTAACCCTCAACCCTAACCCTAACCCTAGACCCTAACCCTAACCACTAACCCCTGACCCTCAACCCGAACCCTAAACCCTAAAACCCAACCCTAACCCTAACCCCACTCCCTAACGCCTAACCCCTGACCCTAAACCGTAAAACTCGCTCGCTGACCCGAACCCTAAACCCTAAACCCTAACCCTAATGCCTAAGCCCTACCCCTGACCCTAAAGCCTAACCCTAACCGTAACCTTGACCCCTAACCCTAACACTAAGCCTAGCCTTAACCTAAGCCCCTAAGCCTCAACAGTAACCCCAACCGTTGACCCTAACCCCTAACCTCATCCCTAACCCTAACCCTAAACCCGAAACCCTAACCCTAACCCTAAACCCTAACCCTAACCCCAAACCCCAACCCACACCCTACACCCTATGACCTAACACTACACCCTAAACCTAAGCCCCAGCCCACCCTACATCCTCAACCCTCACCCTACACCCTAAACCCTAAACCCTAACCCTAACGCAAATCCCTAAACCCTAAGCCTAAGCCCTAACCCTAACCCTAACCCTAAGCCCTAACCCTAACCCTAATCCCTAAACCCTAACCCTTAACCCTAACCATGCCCCTAAACCCTAACACTAACCCTAACCCTAAA